AAAAAAAGAAGAGTTCAAGTAGGAATACAATTTAAAATTATCTGAAATTCGGAATTAAATATAAGCAATATTGTAATAAGAGTACATATAAGAACCCAATAGTAGATTAATTGAAATTCGGAATAAAAAATAAAATAAAATCCGAAAATAGGTAAATTAAAAAGAGAGTTAAAGTAGGAATAAAATTTTGAAACAACTGAAATTGAAAATAAAAAAATAAAAAATATCAAAATAACACAGTACGAAAAATAAAATAAATTCTGAAATTAGAAAAGGAAAAATAAGATTTCAACTAGAAATACAATTTATAAAGAACTAAAATTGGTGATAAAAAAATAAATACTATTGAAAGAAAAGATCATCCAAGACACATGATGGGATTAATTAAGTAACATGCCTATATAGGAGCAGAGTGGTGGCAGTTGATGGGATATCTAAAAACTATTAATAAAACACCAAATAGAAAATCCTAATGAGAACACAATATGAAAAATAAAATAAATTCTGAAATTAGAAAAAGAAAAATAAGATTTCAACTAGGAATAGAATTTATAAATAACTAAAACTGGTGATAAAAAAATAAAGATTATGGAAAGAAAAGACCATCTAAAATACATGACGAGATTAATTAAGTAACATACATATACAGGAGGAGCAGAGTGGTGACGGTTGATGGAACATTTAAAAGCTATTAATAAAACACCAAATTGAAAATCCTAATGATGATTAAAAGGAAGGACAACGGGCAGGTCGTGAAGCAATCGGTCAAGGCGATTGGTGGAACTTCTAGAAAGTAAAAAAATAAATAAACCCCAATGATATTTATATTTGATTTTTAAAATCTCAATTACAATAAAAATGAGAGGCAGCGGGCGGGCCATATAGGAGTACAATAACAGAGCCGCCGATAGTCGGTGGGTCTCCTAGAAAGTAAAAAATGAATTCCAACGAGAGTTATGTTCGATTTTTACAATCCCAATGACAATAAAGAGTATGCGGCGGACGAGTCGTAGAGGAGTATTATGGCAGCGTTTGACGGGATTTCTAAAAATTATAAAAAAATGAAACCCAACGAGACAATAAACTCTAAAAACTATAAGGTCCAATTTTTAAAGGTTCGGGCTTATAAAAAGTAAAAAAGTAAACCCCAATAATAATCATGTTTGATTATAAAATCTCAATGACAATAAAAAAGGGCGGCAATGGCAAGCCGTAGAGGAATACGGTGACAAAGTCGTTGACGTTTTGGCGGAACTTCCAGAAAGTAAAAAAAAATGAACCTAAACAATAATTATGTTCGACTTTTAAAATAACAATGACAATAAAGAGAAGATGCAGTGAATGGCCGTAGAGGAGTATAATGGCAGTGTTTGACGTGACTTCTAGAAATTATAAAAAAGAAGCATAACGTGACAATAAACTCTAAAAACTATAAGTTTTTAATCCAATTTTTCAAGGTTCCAAGGAGAATGAATAGAAATAGTGGTAGATCGAGCAAGCAAATAAAGAATAATATGACAAAAGTAAGAGGTAGTAACTGGTGTGACTTTTAAAAACTATAAAATTAGAAACACGAGGATGATAAGGTTTGGTCTTTCAAAATCTTAAGACAACGAGATAACTATTTAATAAATTTTAAAAAAAATCATATTAAAAATATATAATTTTATATGGGTACTAGCCGCACAATTGTGCGGGCCACCCAGCTAGTTAACTTATTAAAGGAATAGAAAAAGGAGCCTCCACGTTCGCTCACATGGTCTAGAATTCTCACATTAATCGGAGAAAAAGAAAAGGCATAGTCCATATAGAAATACGATTTAGAAATAGCTAAAATTCGGAATTAAAAAATAAGGAATATTAGAAGAGGAGACTAGAGTCCATATAGAAATACAGTTTAGAAATAGTTAAAATTCGGAATTAAAAAATAAGGAGTATTAGAAGAGGAGACTAGAGTCCATATAGAAATACAATTAGGAAATAACTGAAATTCAGAATTAAAAATCAGGACTATTAGAAGTAGAGTATAGAGTCCATATAGAAATATAATTCGAAAATAATAGAAATTCGGAATTAAAAATAAGGAATCTTAGAAGTAGAGTATAGAGTCTATATATAAATACAATTAAGAAAAAAAATAGAAATTCGGAATTAAAAAATAAGGAATATTGAAGTAGAGTATAGAGTCCATATAGAAATTTAAAACTAGCTAAAATTCAGAATAAACATAATAAAATTAAAAGTAGAGTTTAGAGTCCGTATAAAATACAATTTACAAATAACTAAAATTCGAGATTAAGAAAAACATGGGAAAAAGAGTTTAAAGTCAATATAGGAATACAATTAGGAAGTAACTGAAATTCGAAATTAAAAATTAAAGAATATTGAAAGATGAGTTTAGAGTCCACATAGAAATACAATTAGAAATAACAAAAATTCAGAAATAAAAATAAATAATAGTGGAAGAAGAGCCTAGAGTCTATATAGAAATACAATTTACAGAAAATTCGGAATTTTAAAAAAGAAATATTAAAAGACGAGTCTAGAGTCCATATAGGAATATATATAATTTACAAATAATTAAAATTTGATATTAAAAATAATTAATAACTAACACGTATATAAAATACAATATGAATATTACACATTAGTAGTTTCGTAAAGTTATTGTAAAATTTAAAATTGTGTTGTCATTTTAATATATTTGAAAAATATGTTGAGAAAACATATATGCTATTATATGAGAGAAAATATAATGATGCTAGCCGCGCAATCTGCGTGGGCCACCATGCTAGTTATATTATTAAAACAGCTTTGAAAGGAGGCACCACGTTCGCCTGTGGGGGCTAGAAATTCCCACATTAATCGGAGAAAAAGAAAAAAAAAGAAAAGAAGAGTCCAAGTAGAAATGCAATTTAAAAATAACTAAAATTCGGAATTAAAAATAAGTAATATTGAAAGAAGTTTTCATATAAGAACTCAATACGAGATTAATCAATATTCAAAATAGAAATGAAATAAAATCCAAAATTAGAAAAGAAAATGATAGTCCAAGTAGGAATACAATTTTAAAATAGCTGAAATTCGGAATTAAAAATAAGGAATATTAAAAAAAGAAAAATAAGATTTCAATTAGGAATACAATTTATAAATAACTAAAATTTATGATAAAAATAAAGACTATTGAAAGAAAACACCATGTAAAACACATGATGAGATAAATTAAGTAACAAGCCTATAAAGAAGTAAAGTGGTGGTGGTTGATACGACATATAAAAACTGTGAGTAAAACGACAAATAAAATCATAATGATGATTAAAAGGAGGGACGATAGGCAGGCCGTGAAGCAAACGAGCAAGGCGATTACCGGAACTTCTAGAAAGTAAAAAAAAACCCATTGATAATCATATTTGATTTTTAAAATCTCAATGACAATAAAAAGGAGAAGCAGCGGGCGGGGTGTATAGGAGTATAGTTGCAGAGCCGTCAACGATTGACGAGACTTCTAGAAAATAAAAAATGAACTTCAACGATAGTTATGTTCGATTTTTAGAATCACAACGACAATAAAGAGTAGGTGGTGGACGGACCTAGAGGAGCATAGTGGTATCGTTTGACGAGACTTCTAAAAATTATAAAAAATAAAATCCAACAAGATAATAAACTCTAAAAACTACAAGATTCAATTTTTAAAGGTTCAGAACTTATAAAAAAGTAAAAAAACAACGATAATCATGTTCGATTTTAAAATCTCAATGACAATAAAGAAGGGAGGCAGCGGGCGAGCCGTAGAGAAGTACAATGGCAGAGCTGCTGATGGTTTGGCGGGACTTCTAGAAAGTAAAAATGAACCCAAACGATAATTATGTTCGATTTTTAAAATCTCAATGATAAGAGAAGAGACAGTGGACGGGCCATAGAGGAGTATAATGGCAACGTTTCACTTGACGTCTAGAAATTATAAAAACAAAATCCAACGTGACAATAAACTCTAAAAACTATAAGATCCAATTTTTAAAGGTTTCAAGAAGAATGAATAGAAATAGTGGTATATCGAGCAAGCAAATAAAGAAAGAGATGACATAAGGGGTAGCAACTGGTGTGACTTTTAAAAAACTATATAATTAGAAACAAACTCTTAAGACAATGAGATAGCTATTTAATAAATTTTAAGTAAACTCATACTAAAATATATATATGATTTTATTTGGGTGCTAGCCGCGCAATTGCGCATGCCACCTAGCTAGTTATATAGGATGTTACATATGGTATTTAGGCACTAATAAAAAACTAATTACGGAATCCGTCAGTAAACAACGAGACGAATTTATTAAGTCTAATTAATCCATCATTAGCAAATGTTTACTATAGCACCATATTATCAAATCATGGAGCAATTAGGTTTAAAAGATTTGTCTCGCAAATTAGTCGCAATCTGTGCAATTAATTATTTTTTAGCCTATATTTAATATTTCATGCAGGTGTTCAAACGTTCGATGTAACATGGTGTAAAATTTTTGTTTGGGAACTAAAGAGGGCCTAGGCCCTAAAAAAACCCCCTGCGAAAAAAAAAACAAGGGTGTAGAACTATGCCAATGCCAATTGCCAAATATGATCTCAAAGTTGTAGCCATGTGTTGAATTGAAAATTTTGGATACGTGGGCATGCATGCTTAGGGAAATATTGAAGAGAAAAAAAATATTTCTATATAAATGCTCTGGTAAATTGCTAAAGCGATTGCACATTCCTTACAATATTTCTGTTGTTCCCTGGTTTGTTTATGATTACCATAAATATTTTAGTTTTATACTTTATGGCTAAATCCCGGGCGTGACTGCGTGGAGCATCCAACGGTCCAAGATGGTTTGATGACGAGGGTGGATCCGTGGATGTGCGTTGGCTGCCTATGTCCGATGGTCGCAGCGTAAGGCCGGGCCCCACTCCTCTCCTCTACTCGCCAATTTTCCCTTCTTATTTTCGCTATTTCTATATAGGAGTATATGTGGGCATATAGTACCTGTGGGATCGAAAGGCACTGACGAACTCGATCAAGAAGGAGTAGTCCTATCATATAATTGCTGATTCAGTGATTCGATTCCGTCGAGACTCGAGAGGGAGGCGAAGCATGGGGCGTCGTCGTCTTCTGTTGAGCGATCTACTGCTGCTGCTGCTCATCGCCATCGGTGAGTAGACTCTGCCATCGGATGGACACACTAGTACTTGTAATTAATTAATTAATATTTTGTCTCTTGAGCTTTCCTCCCCCTTGCAGCGGTGGCAGGGGCAGCGGCGGCGATCGCGATCCCAAGAGCGGCGCCGGCGTTCGGAGTTGAAACTGGGTGGCCGCCGGAGCACTGCTTGCGCTGCTTCGCTCCACCGGATGCCCCCTTCGTCCTGGGCGCCGCCGCGGCCATCCATCTCGGCAACACCAACTCCTGCATCGCCGGCTACGACGACGACGACGCTCCCCTGGGGGCCAAGCGTAGCTACTACCAGTTCTGCATCCCCTCCTGGGTAGCCCTCGCACACGACAATGGCACCGTCATCTCCGGCGAGGCCGCTATGAACCGCGCCGCCCTCAGCCCCTCCACAGCTGTCTCCGCCTTCATGCGCCTCCTACACAGAAGGCAATTCCCCCTTCCCTCCCCTAAATTCGTTCTTGGTTTGCCAGACCAATTGGGGTAGTTTGTACTAGTAACAAACATCAACCGGTTATTAATTTGCTGTGCGTGCCCAATTTTGTTAATCAGGGTGGAGGACGATGTGGTGAAGAGAGAGATAGAGCTTGTGCCGTACAAGTTTACCAAGATGCTGGGATGGGTCTCCGTCCAACTAGACACAGATGCTGAATTCTCTGTCGACCATCTCGCCGGCATCCTCATCTCCCACCTCAAGCACACGGCGGAGGCGCACCTGGGCCGCCACATCAACAATGCTGTCATCACCCTACCCAGTCGACTCAGCTACTCCGCCGATGGCAGGCAGGTCCTCAGCTCGGCGGCGAAGGAGTACAGCGGCTTCAGGGCCGTCAAGGTCGTCGACGAGCACATCGCGGCGGCCGCGGCGTATGGGCACCACACCAAGCAGGGTGACCGCAAGGCCATCCTTGTCTTCCATCTCGGCGGCCGCACCTCCCACGCAACCATCTTCAAGTTCGTCGACGGCACGGCTCGCCTCATCGCGACGCGAGCTCATCATTTCCTCGGAGGCAAGATCGATCAATGCCCTGCTTCTTTCTTAAATACTAGTACAACCAATTAATTTTTCTTTCTTTTTTTTTTGACATATAATGTAGGTGACGATTTCACGGCGAGGATCGTGGACCACATGGTGGAGCACATCAAGGAGCAGCATGGCAGGGACGTACGGCAGGAGGAGAAGGCAATGGTGAGGCTAAGGGTGGCGTGCGAGCACGCCAAGAAGGCACTGAGCGAGCAACAAGAGACCCTGGTGCAGATGGACTCGCTTCTGGACGACGGCGCGGTCTTCTCCGCGACGCTGACGCGGGCCAAGTTCGAGGAGCTCAACCACGACCTGTTGGACAGAGCCATGGCGCTGGTGAAGGAGGTGGTGGTGACGACGGGAGGAGTGGAGGTGGTGGACGAGGTTCTTGTCGTCGGCGGCAGCGCGAGGATTCCCAAGGTTCGTCAGCTCGTCAAGGACTACTTCAATGGCAACGGCAATGGCACGCACCCAAACAGTCGCGGTTGCAAGGGGCCGGTGGATGTGGAACCAGAGGATGCCGTGCTTCATGGCGCCGCGCTTCTTTCCCGTCCTCTACCTGTTGCAGAGGGAACAGCAGCAGCTCGGTCCATCGGTTCCGTCGGAGGCATCTGATCTCTCTCGTGTAGCTTATGCTTTGGCTACGACGATGAACCAAGGTGGGTGCGCTTCAGGTTGGAGCTTACAGTGAGTGTGGGTCATTCTTGCCTTCTGGAGTCGTTTTACTAGTTGTAACATGTAGCACTAACCACTAAATAATTGTTCATTTCCCTGTGAAATTCTGAATGAGACACCTCCTTTTGTCAAGTCAATTTGCTGGTGTTCCGAAAGGGATCTTGTGAGATACTCGAATATAAATTCCGTGTTTGTGGGAAAATGATCTGAAAAGGCGTGAAGGGCATGTGGAGATGATGCGAACGAAACAAACAGGTTGCCTTTATTAATTGTAAGCCAAGCGTTTGCCTGGAAACGTGGTCCAAACAATGTTCTACTACAAATTACAACCAAAATAACAATAATAAAAATGGACCTATCTAAGACCAAGTTTAATAGTATAGCCAACTACTACCTCCAATTCATTTATAGCCAATCTAATAGCTCATTAGTACAATAGTTACATACTACACTATTAATATCTGGTCCCACCTGTCATATACACACACTTTGTCTTGGAGACCGTGCTACAGCTGGCTACAAATATGTAGCCCGTTGCTCCTCTCCCCTCATTTATCTCCTTAAAATATGTTTGCAGCTGGCTTACAGCCTGCTATTATACCTGCTCTAATCTTTTCTTTCTTCCCTCACTGAAAACTTTAAACTCAAATTTTAAAACTTTTATGACTTTCAAATTAGATTTGAAACTTTCAAGTGAAGATTTTAAACTTTTAACTCAAGATTTAAAAATTTCAACTTAAAAGTAAAAATTTTTAACTAAGATATGAAAAATTTTAACTTGGATTTGAAAACATTGAACTCAAAATTTTAAAAAATTCTAGTCATGATTTAAAAATTTTTAACTCGGGTTTGAAAACTGTCAACTCAAATTTAACAACCTTCATCTCAAAGTTCAAACATTCAAATGAAATCGGAGGTGAAAGGTTTAATTTCTAGAATATGATAAAAATTTCAGGAAAAAATCACGCGCGCATTGGAGCGCAGACGTGCCAGTTCAACATAGCACAAGCGCATACCGCCTGCTCAATGTCTCGTGTACAAAGGCGGCAATTAGTACATACAGTAGTACATATTCTAATAATGTGGGTGAAAATTTGAACTGTTTGGGAAAGCTGTAGCTATAGATGGCCAAAAGGCCCGAGGCCCGACGGCCCGGCCCATGGCACGGCATTTTGGCCCGGCCCAAGCACGGCGCAGCCCGACGGAGGTCGAGCCCGTGCTGGCCCGGCCAAACCACCGGGCCGTGCCTGGGCCCCTCCACCGGCACGTTGGGCCGGGCCGGCCTGACACGATGGGCCAGCAGCTAGGCCCGATACACAAAAAAAATATGGGAGTAAAAATAGACATATTATATGCCATGGATGAAAGAATAGGGATCTAAAATAGACTTTTTTTATCTATACATATGTCAGCCGAAGAGGAGGGATGGAAAATAGAGTTATTTTAGCTATACATATGTTAGCCCAAAGAGGAGGGACAGAAAATAGACTTATTTTAGCTATACATATGAAATAGCCCAAAGAGGAGAGACGAACAATAGACTTATTTTATAAAAGGCCCGATGGGCCACCCATGCCTTCGGGCCGGCACGGCATGGCCCGACAGCTGGTGGACCGTGCCTGGGCGGGAGGTGCAGCCCATGGGCCGGCACGGCCCGATAGGCACGGGCCGTGCCGGCCCGATGGCTGCTGGGCCGTGCCCGGGCCGTGCCTGGGCCGGGCCGGGCCGGCGGGCCCTTTGGCCATCTATAGCTGTAGCTTATAGGAGAAGCTGCAGCAGTTAGAAACTCCCCCAAATATGACCTAAAACTGCATCCTCGTCTTCCTTCTCCCGACTCTCCCTCACACACCACCGCTCACAAAGTGCGAAATCGTGATCAGCGCTACTTTCACCACCACCGCACCAGTGCGCAGTCACCACTTGCCATCTCACCATCGTTCACCAGTGCCACCTCACATCGACGATGGGAGGAAGCAAGCCAGGCAGTGGCAGCATTGGAGTCAGGGTCGCCCTGCAGTGACAGCCAGCACCCCGATCACAGTTGCCAACTCGCCAACACCACCTCGCGCCACCGCCTCGCGCCAGATACGGCTTTCTGGAAGCTCCAGCCGTCACCAGCCACTCAAATCTGGTGGAGAGTGGCCTCCATGCCACCATCCTCGACTTGTCGCGACACCGTTCTCAACACCTTCCACTCGTGTCTGGCAGCGCCACTAGGGATTTTGCCTCACCAACATCATCTTAGCTCGCCACACGCCTTCCACCGGCGGTGAGGAGGAGGAAGGAGGGCGGGCTGGGCTTAGAGTTTCACCTCTTGAGCAACCTACGAAAGAGGCAACGCGTGGGTCCTCCCTGTAATTATACTGTCAAGTGTCAATAAAAACTATTTGCACAAAATAATTTCTTGTCTTGAATAGTCATGTCTTCACATATAATTTTAACTGTACCTTTTTTTATCCATTGTTATATATTTCTAGTACCGAATGGAATTACTAATATCTATTATGGAAGTACAAAATATTGTTTTTTATGTGTTTAATCTAAACATCCGGATATCAATGTTAACAAAAAATAAGTTTGAGTATCGATAAAATTAATGTTTATTATGGATGATTAGTTTTTGCATAAATTAATAGCTTGGGACCTAAAAATTTTAGTTTTTGCATAAGTATGTGTTCATCAGGGGATCTGTACTACTAGCCGCCGAATCGATCATTCTGTAGCTGTAAACTTTTGCATGTGGTGCCATACTGCCATTCCATGTGTCACCAAGAATGGCAGCTAAACAATTCATAAATTGCCTATGTTGACCTGATCTGCCTATCCACAACAAAAGTACTACTCCTACTAGATTGCGACCGAGTTGGAGACTTCGGAGAGCGTCGGTGAGTAACATGGACACCGACAAGTTGGGCGAAGCGGCGGCGGGGGCGAAGAGGCGGCGGCGGGGCATCCGCCGGAGGCAGAGAAGCGCCGTCATTAGTGGAGAAACCATCTTTACCCGGTCGACCAAAAACCACAATAGTCCCGGTTGCAGTAAAAACCGGGACTAAAGATGATTTTTAGTCCCGATTTATAAGCAGAACGGGACTACGTGATACCAACCAGGACTAAATATGATCTTTAGTCCCGGTTCACATGCTGTCAGGTGTTGTCAGGCCCCTCCAGGATCTTTAGTCCAACGAGAGTAAAGATCGGATCTTTAATCCCGGTTCGTAACACCAACCGGGACTAAAGATGATCTTTAGTCCCTGTTGGTGATCTTTAGTCCCGGTTGGTGTTACGAACTGGGATTAAAGATCAAAACACACTATATAAACCCTATTACTTATCCTCTTTTCCCATCCACACAAACTCCTCTTTCTCTCCATCTCTAATTCTTATCTCATCCCTTCTTCCCTTCCTCCTTATCTCTTCTCTTTCTTATCCCTTCCCGGCCGTGTGCGTAGCAAGAGAGGGTGGGCGGGCCGGTCGGCGGAGAGCGGCACGGCGGCACGGCAAAGTGGAGGGCCGCTCGGCGGCGGCCGGGGAGGAGGGGAGGCGGCAGCCTGCTCAGCCGGCCAGCGGCTTTGCTTCTTTTCTTTTTCTTTTTTTTGAAGAATTTGTGATCCATGTATAGATTGAGATGAAAAATTTGTGATTCATTGTATGGATTGAGATATATAATTTCTTTTTAGAATCTCATTGCATGGATCTGAGATATATATGATTTGTGTATTTGACATGTTTCTTTGATTTGGGATGTATAATCTGTGGTGTATATGATTGATTTGTGTATTTGGGATGTTACTTTGATTTGGGAATATACATCCCATCTAATTTGGGAGAAAATAAATTAGAGATTAAGTAGTAAGTAGCAATAAATGAAAAAAAAACTAACCGTGACTACCTGCTCCCATCTTTAGTCCTGGTTGGTAACACTAACCGGGACTAAAGATCGATCTTTAGTCCCGGGTATTTGAACTGGGACTAAAGATAGGGATCTTTAGTCCCGGATTCGTAGTCCCTAAACGATTTCTCCACCAGTGCGTGGAGTGCCTGCGCCGGGCGCCGCCACAATAGTACATCATTGAATGTATGTACAACTAATGCCTTTTCACTCATGAGTATATCAGAGCTGAAGTCTTAACAGTGCATTGTTTGGCTAATATAAGAGCCCGTTTAGTAGGGTTCCAACTACTAAATTTAACTTCAGGCTAGGTTTGGAGTGAAGCTATAGAGTTGCTTAAACTTAGAACCTGTTTGGCACAGCTCCAGCTCCAGCTCCACCCCTCCTGGAGCTGGAGCTCAGCCAAACAGTTTCAGCTCCACTAGAACTGGGAGTGGAGTTGGGTGGAGCTCTCTTACAAAATGTACTAGAGTTGTGGAGCTGGGTTTAGACAGCTCCACAACTCCACTCAAGACTCAACTCTTGGAGTTATATTTAGGAGTTGGAGCTGTACCAAACAGGCCCTTAGCTTCACATTTTTAGTTCATTTTGTGTGAGCAGCCAGCTAGCTCCACTTTCTTTTTGGGTGGAGCTGATCAAACCGTTTGGTTCGGCTTCAGCTCCAAGAATGGTGGAGCTAGAGCTGAAGCTATGCGAAATGGGCCCTAAGAATGCTAACAGATTTACTTCAACACAGTGACAATTACGCTTCGTTTTTTCAATTAAAATCACTACTACATAAAAGAATTTTCCAAACGGGCAAAATTGTCTTTTGTAAATGGACAGAACAACCGTTTGGTGCTAGATGTATGTAGAAATATTGATTATTGCAAAGGGGTAGCACAACTGAATGCAAAAATATATTTTTCCCAGACGGGCATGTTAAGCGCCCCCTTGAAAAGGAATTTTGTCAAAAAAAACATAAACCCTATCTGGATCTGCCACAACCCCGTAGCCACATGAACCCCACCACCACCCGTAGCTGGTGGATTCGCTCGTTCTAGGGTCCACATCTGCTAGATCCGGCTATTGCGTGGCCACCGACAGTGGAGGATCCAACCATCACGAGGCCACTGATGCCAGATCCGGCCGTCGCGAGGCCGTAAGCGGTGGAGAGGGAGGAGCCAAGAGAGACTAAGTCGCGAGCCCATCGGTGGTGGAGGAGGAGGAATCGAGGGAGAGTATGTCACAAGCCCATCAACAACGGAGGGGTAGAGCCGAGGGAGGATCTGCCTTATCTAAGCAAATCATGGTATGTGGGTTTATCGTCATATTATCTGTCTATCTGATTGCTTTCCTATGATTTGATGATCTTGCCTTCAAATTGTGGTTTCTTTATGTCGAGTTTGGAGGGTGTCTTGAAGAAAATGGAGGTAGGATGATACAAATGCATTTTTTTACTTACCAATTACTAAACATTACAATGCACTTTGTTTCTACATATGATTAAGAGGAATTCTGGTTGGGATGACTTGATCTTTATACCCCTACTCTCGAGAAAACGACGAGCTAGGCTCCTCTAACTTAAATCAGAGGGACATATATGTCTGACGTTTGGGTCCATGAAGGTGGACCTCACCTATTACGGACCCATATCCCTTCTGACTTTTAAGTCAAAGGAGCTCTTTCCCTGGGGAAGAGCCTCAACCAACATATTAACGAGGAATCAGCGTAATTTTGTTCTTGCAGTGATACCACAGAGTTTGAGCACACATACATTTGCTCACTTCAAATACAGTGATGGCCAGCCAATCAACAGTGTCAAGTTGCTGCCTGAGCTTGTTTTTAATAACTTTTTGCTGGTGGTTCTTTGTAACAAAAAAAAATTCAGGATTAAAGAGATAAAATATGTATGTGTTTTTAACATTGTTTCAACCTTCAAACATCAATACAAGCTCCACTTTAAGCTGCCGAAGTGTGTGAGGCGCAAACTCTCTGTTGCGGGAAAATTATTGATTACAGTATCATGATAAAAGAAAACAATAATTAACGTTGCCATGATCAAGGTGTGTTTGGGGTCTTTCATGGGAGATAAATCCAAGTTTCCCTTGTCGTGCTATGAACCAGAGGTCCAACTAACTACTCCAGTTAGCCACCTGGACCGAAAAGGACGTTCGTGTAATCATTTTGTCTTTCCAATCCATGTTTTGCACTTGAGTTTCTAATGAAATGATCTGTATTTTCTTTTCCAGTGCTACTCGTTTCAGGGCCTGTTTACTTCCCAAACAAAATTTTTTATACTGTCACATTAAATATTTAAACACATACATGAAGTATTAAATATAGAAAAAAAAATAATTACGTTGTTCACCAGGAATTACGAGACAAATCTTTTAAGCCTAATTGCATCATGATTTGACAATATGGTGCTACATTAAACATTTGCTAATAACATATTAATTAGGCAATAATTTCGTCTCACAGTTTCCTGGCGTGATCTATAATTTGTTTTGTTATTAAACTACGTTTAATACTTCAAATGTGTGTCCGTATATCCGATGTGACATTTAGGGGCAAAAATTTTTACCTACTAAACAAGCCCTTAATTTATCTTCCTAAACTTAAGAGTGCTAATTGCACACTTGTTCGCCTCATCTTTTAGAATTGCATCTCAGAAAGTCAACGGGCAGAATTTCTCAATCCACTACAGATGTGTGTAGATAATATGTCACTCGTTCAAATTTAAACGAGAAGTATATCAATTTGTAATTCATCCAATCAATTTCCTATAGTTGGCAGCCGGCCGGTATGAATGCAGTGATGTGTTTTGTCTTGTCAGTTCGCACGTTTGCTTATTTTTTGTACAGAATTAACTTCTTGTCTAGAATGTCCTGTCTTCAATGCACATTTTTAACTGTAATTTTTTTCTGTTGTAATACATTTCTAGCACCGAATGGAATTGGTAGCGCTACTTCGAGCGTCCAACAACGCCTTCTCCTTTCTTCGTGCTTTTCTCTTTTTTACCACCCCACATTTCCTCCAAATCCTACATTTTCTGCTTTCTCCTTTTAGTTTTCCTCTTTTTTACCATCCCGCATTTCCTCCGCATCCTACCTTCTTTTCTTGGTTCGTTTTTTTTTTACCACTCCACCTTCCGTGTTTCTTTTTTCGTATTTCTTTTTTCTCTTTTCCATCTCATCCGTGTTTCATCCATGGTCCCAGTAAAATATTAACCATTCAGATGTCTATGTTTTTCGTTTCTTCTGATTAGTTTTTCTGTTTTCGCGTTTTAGTAAAATATTTACCGTCTATTTTTTCTTTTCAAGTTTTCCATTTTTTCTATCTCCGCACGTTTTAAAAGTAACGAATTTACTTCGTGGAGTTTTTCATTTACTCCTAGCCTCCCATATCTGCTCATTCAAAAGTAACAAATTTACTCGCATGCATGCCTCCACATCGTATGACGCCATATCTAGATGGTCGTAAAAGAAGTACTACCAGCTTACAATGCTAGCAATTCTTTTACCAATATTATAAATATTATTTAGATTTCGTGGTCTGTGAGTAAAATAATTACTACATTCCTCTCGATATAGCTCATGATTTCGTAGCCACCGTGTAGTAATATGTTTACTGATGTGTTCAATACACAATATAAGAGTAAAAACTGAGATTACGTGGTCTGTGAGTAAAACAATTACCACCTTTCTCTCGATATAGCCATGATCTCATAGCCACCGTGTAGTAATATGTTTACTGATGTGTTCAATATACAGTATAAGAGTAAAAACCGATACTAAGAGTATCGTTGAGCTGTATCACAAAATAGTCGTATGAATAAAAAAATTACAGGCTCAATCACACAAGCGATAAAATTACTCACAGGTGAATCAAACTAGAAAAAAAATGATTCAGCCAAAAATCCATGTGGTGGCTTTGCTGGATCTTGCGATAAGGATGAAGAGCACGGTCTGTGTCTTGTGACGAGTAGTGAAGAGGGCAACCGGGTGGCGAGCAGTAGTCGACGATGGAATCATGGAAGGATATAGCGGTATGGTATATAGATGAGCTCGACGTTACGCCGTAGCAGCCATCCATCATCTAGCAAGCACGAAAAAAATGCAAAAACATTCTCGTTCATGTCAATACAGATGACGAGCAAAAGAAAAATAGCAAACAATCTCCATCACTGGCGGACTCCACCATATCTTCTGCGCCCAGCCACATGGAGCACAATGTACAAATGTAGAACCTGTGCAGCCCATCAATTGAGATCATGTAATATTGGAGATTGCACGTTAATTTGATTTGCAAAAAAAAAAAGGCTTCATGCGTGAAGTTGAAGGGGAGTGTATGCAGATGCAAATCAGAGTGTCATTTCCTTACTTGCTTGTTCTATGAATGTCACCGACGTGGAGCAGCCCCTGGTTGTTGCTATTAGCTCAGATGAACACCTCCTTGCTGGTTAAGGTGCTGCCTAGCGTCCGGCGGCGAGGCCCGAAGCAGTGCCTTCATCTCAACCACCGCTTCCGCCACCGCTGTCAACCACCATGGTGTCGTCGTCCTTCTCCATGGTGTGTCGCCGATCTGTGACCTGGGATGGTGGATCGATTCAGATCCGAAAAAAAGGAAAAAATAAAGTGGGGTCGAGAGTGGTTTGTTGGGTACGAGAAAAATAGAATACATACCGGAAGCAGAGAAGTTGTTTTTATCGTAGTAAATCATTTACTCCGATAATGGTGGGAGTACGATACGAGACGTGGGGTGAGATCGGAAGCATGGGGGTTGTTTTCATTATCGAAGTAAATCGTTTACTCGAATAAAGGTGGGTGGTTGAGGTGCGCGATAGGAGTAAATCGTTTACTTCGACAACGGTAGGAGTGGGATGACGGGACATGGGGTGGGGTGCGTCAGGTCTGGGCTGATGCATATTTGGAGCTTGGAATATTATGAGTCAATGTTAACGAAAACAAATAAAGTTTGACTATAGATACAATTAATGTTTATTATGAACTACTCCTATTTGTTTTTGCCTAAATAAATAGCTTGGGACCTAAACATTGTACTATAAGTATGTGTTCATGAGGAGATCTGATCTGTACTGGCCAAATAGATCGTTCTGTAGCTGTAAACTTTTGCATGGTGCCATGTCCATACTGCCATTCCATGTGTCACCAAGAATGGCAGCTAAATAATTAATGAATTGCCTATGTTGACCTGATCTGCCTGTCCCCAACAAAACGGAAGCCCCGCACTAGATTGCGACGGTGTTGGAGACTTCGGAAAGCGTCGGTGCGTGCCATGGACACCGACAAGTTGGGAGAAGCGGCGGCGGCGCATCCGCCGGAGGCAGAGAAGCGCCGTGGAGTGGCCGCGCCGGGCGCCGCCACGGTGTTGGTCCTCGTCGCGCTGCCGCTGATGCTCGTGTCCTACTTCTTTGGCGACCTCGCCGCCGACACCGTTGTCCGCCTCCATCGCTTCAAAGAATCGTCGTTGTCTTCGTCGTCACCGGCGGCGGCGGCAGACCGGCTCCTCGGCGGGCTTCTCTCGCCGGAGTTCGACGAGGCGTCGTGCCTCAGCCGGTACGAGGCCTCTTCGCGGTGGAAGCCGTCGCCGTTCCGGGTCTCCCCCTACCTGGTCGAGCGGCTGCGGCGGTACGAGGCCAACCACCGGCGGTGCGGCCCGGGCACCGCGCGCTACCGGGACGCCGTCGCGCGGCTCCGGTCCGGCGACGGCGACGGCGACGCCGAGTGCAGGTACGTTGTGTGGCTCCCCATCCAGGGCCTCGGCAACCGGATGCTCAGCCTCGTCTCCACCTTCCTCTACGCGCTCCTCACCGGCCGCGTCGTGCTCGTCCACGAGCCGCCGGAGATGGAGGGCCTCTTCTGCGAGCCCTTCCCGGGGACCTCGTGGCTGCTTCCGCCGGACTTCCCCTACAAGGGCGGCTTCTCCGCCGCGTCGAACGAGAGCTACGTCAACATGCTCAAGAACGGCGTCGTCCGCCACGACGGCGACGGCGGCGCGCTGCCGCCGTACGTGTACCTCCACCTGGAGCAGATACATCTCCGGCTGCAGAACCACACGTTCTGCGAGGAGGACCACCGGGTGCTCGACCGGTTCAACTGGATGGTGCTCAGGTCCGACAGCTACTTCGCCGTGGCGCTGTTCCTCGTGCCGGCGTACCGCGCCGAGCTCGACCGGATGTTCCCGGCGAAGGGGTCGGTGTTCCACCACCTCGGCAGGTACCTCTTCCATCCGGGCAACCGCGCGTGGGGCATCGTCGAGAGGTTCTACGACGGGTATCTCGCCGGCGCCGACGAGCGCCTCGGCATCCAGGTGCGCATCGTGCCGCAGATGGCCGTCCCGTTCGACGTCATGTACGAGCAGATCCTCCGGTGCACGCGGGAGCACGGCCTCCTTCCCCAGGTGACGAGCACCAGCGAATCGGCCGGTGGCCGGCCGCCGCCACCGCCGACGGCGACGGCGACGAAGGTGAAGGCCGTGCTGGTGGTGTCGCTGAAGCGGGAGTACTACGACAAGCTGCACGGCGCGTACTACACGAACGCGACGGCGAGCGGCGAGGTGGTGGCGGTGTACCAGCCGAGCCACGACGGGGACCAGCACACGGAGGCGCGGGCGCACAACGAGCGCGCCCTGGCGGAGATCTACCTGCTCAGCTTCTCCGACGCGGTGGTGACCACGGCGTGGTCGACGTTCGGGTACGTGGCGCACGCGCTCGCCGGCGTGCGGCCGTGGCAGCTGGCGCCGCTGGACTGGGGCAAGATGAGGGCCGACGTGGCGTGCGCGCGGCCGGCGTCGGTGGAGCCGTGCCTGCACTCGCCGCCGCCGCTCGTCTGCCGGGCGCGGCGGGATCGCGACCCGGCGGCGCATCTGCCGTTCTTGCGACATTGCGAGGATGTGCCTGCCGGTCTCAAGCTGTTCGATTGAGTTGGCTTGAGCTATAACATCTTTGCTTCATATATATATTTTTTTTTGGAAATACAAAGAGAAACTTTTGGGTGGGATGCCAACAATAGTAAAACCATTTATGCCTCCTTTGGAATGGATGAATTTTAAAGGAATTTTGAAGGAATTGAATTAGATTCTATGAAATTCATTCGTTCCAAAGGAGCCCCTTATGCTGAAATGGAGCTGAGGAGCTGATAATTTGACCCTTAGTTTGATGCTCGAATGTACACAACCTAGTCAACAGTAGGTTCACAAAATTCTTGAATATCACATTCACAGGATTCCTGTTCGAATGTACACACCCTAACACTACAGTAGCTTCACAGAATTATTGAATTTCACAGGATTTCTGTTCCAATGTTCCAGCACCAAATTCTGTCAGAGTTATTCAGTTGTTTTCTTGCAAATATAAATTGGACGCCTTCTCAGATAAAACTGTTACCAGTCAATGGCTGCCGCCCTTGAGCAGTTCATCAACAAAGATGGTATAAAGGTGAAATGTCTAACAGCAGAGCTTGATCCCAATTGTCCAAAAATTTCTGTCTTTTTTTTACATAACCTCTTCACCCTTCTTCACTCTGGGTGAACAAGTTTCAGTCCCCAGCTCATGTCCTCACAGTGTCTGACATGTGGGACCAACTTCCCCGTGTCGGCGCCACGCTTCACCCTGCAGTCGTAGAAGGGCGGCCCGTGCAAGCACGGCTCCATGGACACGGCGCGCCGGCACGGCGGGTCCGGCGTCGTGAGGTTCTCCGGCTTGAACATGACCCACGGCGAGAGCCCGCCGAGGCCGTGGCCGACGTACCCGAACGTCGACCACCCGCTGGTGACGATGGCGTCGGTCATGCTCAGCAGGTACATCTCCGCCATCGCCTTCATGTCGTGCGTCGTGCTCCCGGACAGCTGGTGCTCCTCGTGGCTCGGCTGGTGCACGCGCACCACCTCGCCGGTGGCCGTCGGTGACTGCCAGTACCTGGACCGGATGTTGTCGTAGTACCACGAGTTCAGGCCGGTCATCAGGACGGCCTTGGACCGCGCCGCCGTCGCCGCCGCCGCCGGAGCTGGGAACGACGACGGTTCTTGCTCCACCACCTCCGGTAGCAACCGCTCCTGTGACGTGCAAGCGGTGATCTGATCCAAGATGTGCTTGAACGGGGTGTCCCCGTCGAACACCCTGACCTGGATGCCGAGCCGTTCGTCCGAATCCCTCAGGTAGGAGTCGTAGAACCTCGTGATCAATCCCCAAACCTTGTTCGTCGGATGGAGAAGATAGTGCGCCAAGAGGTAGAACACCGAGTCTTTCCGAGGGAACAGCCGGTCGAGCTCGTCTTGGTACGCCGGGTTGAGGAACAGCGCCGGCGGGAAGTAGCCGTCGGTCCTCATCAGCAGCCATGGCGCCCGGTGGAGGAAATGGCGTTCGTCGTCGCAGTAGAAGAGCTTGTCGTGGTAGGTGCAGCCATGGTCGAGGTCGACGAAGACGTAGGGGAGCTCCGACACCGACGTGGCCGGCCGGTCGCTCTGCACCAGGTTCCTGTAGCTCTCCGGCGCCTCGCCGGTCAAGTCCTGGAGGTTCTTGATCGGGAACTCCGGCGGCAGCAGCCACGACGTGCCCGGGAACGGCTCGCAGAACAGGTCGGCCAGCGACTCCCCCCTGTCGACGAGCAGCGCGCGGCCGGTGAGCATGGCGTAGAGGAACGCCGACGCCATGGCCAGCATCCTGTTCCCTAGGCCCCTGTACGGCACAAGCACGAGGTACTTGCACCCTTCGTCGTCGGCGCCGGCCGTGCCGTTCCGCCGGGAGCCCAGCCGCTCCGCCGCCCTCCAGTACGCCGCCGTGCCCGGGCCGCACCGCCGCTGCAGCGCCTCCTGCTCCCGCAGCCGCTTGACGAGGTGACGGCACGGTGATCGCGCCGTGTTCTTGCGGTACATCGCCGAGCTGTACCGGCTGGCGCACGTCCGCTCGTCGAGTCCCGGGACGAGCAGGCCGCCCATGAGCACGTCTCTCTTGGACCCTGCAATGGCGGAGGCAGAAAAAAATTACCGGTTCGTCTTCTCCCCTAAAAATTGAAAATGGAATTGTGACATTGATCACAAGGGTAAATTTACCTTTCGATGCGTACATCCTGGACGGCGACGCCCAGCCGGACATGGACGGGAACGGCGAGCCTCGCCGGCTAACCAGGAGGATCAAGATCGGCGACGCGATGAGGCAAATGGCGAGGCACGTGATCTTCTTCTTCTTCTTCTTCCCGGGGATCCATGGGCATGGCCTCTCGTAGTCGTCCCCGTCCTCCGCCGCGGCGGCCGAGCATTGCTGCGACGGGCGATTGGTTATGCCAGCGCCAATCCCTCCCTCCGAGTTCATGGTTATTAGGCGGATGATGCGTTCTTCTCGGAATCAAGAATCTCATACTAAAATAAGATTTTTAGGTATTAAGGAAGGGTTCTTACAATTTGGAAAGTGACTAAAAGGAAGAACGGTAATAATAGGAGACGAAAAGGCGAAAAAAGAGAGCAGCGAACTTAATGATTATTAAGCTGTTATGATTTTTTTTTTAAAAAAAAACCATCTAATCTATCAGATACTAGATTATAAGGGCTGAGTTCTAATAACCAAGAGTTCAAAGCTATATAAATTGGGAAAAAAATCGTAGAGTGGAATCATTTATACATAATAATTTCACAAATTCTAGGGTCAAATTAAACATTTTCTATCAATTAGGACTAGTTTGCGGTAATGAAATTTTCTAGATTTCAGGCGTCGAAAAAATTGTAGATTCAGTCATATGTAACTGCATGTGGCTAAGTCTAAATTTGCAATGCTATATAATTTGGACTTTTAGATCATTTGAACTGTAATTTTATTGCTATATGTGGATTTATTTTATTTTTATCTAAGTCTGAATTTTTTTTTACATGTAATTTTGTATATTTATATGGCTATAAGTATTATTTCATGTTATTTTCCATGTTAGAATAGTTTATTGTTCAACCATTGAGGAGTGATAATAAAGAAAAAACATATCTTATGCACAGAAGTTTCGTGTACACATCAACTAGTAACAAATATCATCGAAAAATATAGAAAAAAAATCATATAACTTTAATATCATTACACTTACGTGTAAAATCTTAACATCAAATTCACTATATTTTAGCGATAATAAAAAAGGGTAAAATCTGATAATTTTAAGACTATAATTTTGTCTTTTTTTTCTTTTGATGTGTGACGAATTTGATGATAATACTTTACACATTGATTCAATATTATTAAAAGTACATATATATTTTTTAAAACTTTTAGTAATATTTGTTAGTTGATGTATATGATATGTGCACTGGTTTATTTATGTGTATAGGATATACCGGAGTGATAGAAGGATTGAGATCGCACCGTGATTTTGTCACTAACAGATAGGTTCGCGGTTCATTAGACCCACGTGTAAATGACAAAGACACTCTTTGAAGTAGAGAAGCCTGATCCGTGATGGAAACGATTGGATTGTCATGCAGGGAGCCATTTATACGACCCTGTGTACATTGGCGGTGTATCCGATGCCGCAATAATGCATGCCCAGCCCACGAAACAATGGACCGCACGGGCACGGCAGCTCCTGCACTCTTGTCCGGATCAATTAAGAAGGGCCGAACATATGCTTCAGGCCCAACTTAAATACGCCCTAACTAAGTTGTATAATCCTTTTTGGGTCCAACTGGCTCACACGATTAAGGAAAATTTTTAAGCTTTCACTTTATTTATTAAAACATTTAAAAATAATTTTAAACAAATTATTTTTTAAAAAATACAATACAAATGCATGCTCACAACATGCGTACACTCACCCTACCCTCATGAGCACCTCCAAAAGATTGAGAGTGACGAAGTCAGTACGGGAACACACTCACCCTACCCTCATGAGCACCTCGCTGTTGACAGGTACTTCCTCCGTCCCAGAATATAAGAAGTTTTAAAGTTGGACACGGTTATTAAGAAAGTAAGTAGAGGTGAATGGTGGAGGGTTGTGATTGGATGAGTAGTGTAGGCAGGTGGAAAAAGTAAATGGAGGGTTGTGATTGGTTGGGAAGAGAATGTTAGTAGAGAAGTTGTTATATTTTGGGACAAACTCTGAGGACTAAAAATTGTTATATTTTAGGACTGAGGGAGTACATCGTTTACCACTAAAAGAAAATTAGCCATAAACGCGAACATCCGTGTCAAATTTAGGATTTGAACTCAGGTGGGCTGGTTCCACCACAAGAAATTTAACCAGTGAAGTTATACTCACTTAGCTACTGCAGGTGCCCCCTTACAACCCTTTGAGAGGGCGGCAAGGAGGCTACCTACAAAATGGTTGGCTGTCCTCCACGCGACCGTTAGCATGCGCCAGCGGCCGTATGCCACTTCATTAAAAAATGCTCTTTGGGAGACACCCTCCTAGAGAATGTTAGGGGTGCAGACTTGCAATTTTTTTAAATTATTTTTACATATTTTAATACAATAAAAATTAGAATTAATTTTTTTCCACGATTACGTCTTCCATTTTTGGACCATGTTATTTCTGTTAGGACCATCCATGTAATATTTGCAAGAGAATCATCCCTCCTATCATGCACTTTGAATGACCCAGATTACTTTAAGATTAGTGTTGTTTTAGGGTTTTGACCTTATCCTCTTCCACCACTATCCTCTCCAACACAACGTTCCGTATCTCTCCTGGTGCCCATGCCACCTTCCCTGCCACTCGGTCTTGTCGGCTGACAGAAAGATGTTAATGGTGCTTGCGTAACCCCGCCCCCACCCTCCCCCTCCCTTATTTCTCCTCCTCCTCAAGTCATTAGCTACGTGGTGTCCCCACCCACTCATTCTGCTTTGCCCCACCACCAACGCCAGCCCACTGGCCTTCTCCATGCCTACCGCTCTAACGCCACAACCCACACCTCGCTTCCCACCCATGTCCACCTCGCACCACCAATCCACCGCCTACCACCCATCCCTCTAAGGTTACTAGAGGGCATTTGGTTTTTGCAATTCTCTAGTTCTCCGTGAGCATGTTTTTTAAAGTAATGTGTTTTTTCTCACAACCTTTATATATATATATATATATATATATATATATATATATATATATATATATATATATATATATATATATATATATCAAATAAAACCGTTTTCGAGTTTGTAATAATTAATAATAATACTCAATTAGACATATGTTAATGTTAATAGCTTGCATGGTTTTACGTGTCGCCGATTAGCCCAAGCAAACTGCTCGATTGAACAAGGCCTAAGTCCAATGAATCCCCCCCGGGTCCCCACCCACCTTCCATCCCTACCATAAAAGCAGGAACGTAAATCCTAACTTGTTGGTCGCTTCCTATATCTCTAGATCTAGAGGAGATGAACTTGGTCGCATAAATCTTCGAGCAAACCTGGAGTTAAAAAATATGTAAGATGTCGGATCAAAACATAAGAACTAAGCCAACCAGAGGGGGGGTGAATGGTTGGTATACCCAAAATCCAAAACCTTTTAGCGGAAATAAAAGTTACCCTCGAAATCGACGGAGATCGGTCTGACCGGAGTAGATTAGCCGGTCTGACCGAAGCGTAGCCGCCGGTCTGACCGGTGTTGAATCTCCGGTCTGACTGCCAAGATTTGCTCCTGACGCCTGTCGTTGATGCCGGTCTGACCGCCGTGTACCCGCCGGTCTGACCGCTGCGATGCCGCCGATCTGACCGCTGGTGTGCCGCCGGTTAGACCGCCGAAACCCGGTGAAACACAAATAGAAGAACTCTTAAAGTAGATGACGACTTTATTGATTCTCTCTGTGTTTACAAAGTGCACCAACAGCACTCCTTACAAAAATTTTGACTAAACTCGAAACCCTAACTCAAAACTCAACTCAATTGCTCTCTAAAGCGATACCGGGAAGCCTCACGCTCCCCCTCTATTTATACATGAGGTAGGCAGCCTAAAGCCACGAACTAAACTCATACTAAGAGTCCTAAACACCTTAGGAAACCCTCTAGTACAAGAAAGAAACTTTACATAACCAATCGTACCAAATTTGGACTCCTTCCAAATTCGACTCCGCATCCCATACGCACACAACACCTCCATCGTATGCCATATGGAATCTCCATCAACCACGTGCATCAACTCTAGCCTAAGTATCCCGCATGATCTCTGACCACCACGGACGTCGTCTTATCCCCAAGCCGACTCCCGGTCCATCACCGCAAATACTCTCCCGAGGCATCGAGTCACCTACACATGAAATAAACAAAGAAACCATATTCCGAGACCAAGCTATCACAACTTGACTCATTAGTAGCAAACAACAGTATTACATACGTATAGTATCCATCTAGAAGTCATAATCATGAAATAAACTCGGATATCCAAACAAACAATCCGAAACCGAAACCGACACAGCGTCGGCCGGTCAGACCGCGCAATACACGCCGGTCTGACCGGCTAGCAGAGCCCGGTTTGACCGGTCACATAAAATGACGAATCCTGCGATCACCTGTGAAATCCAATCATCTCCAAAACCACTTCGTGAATAAATTCCAAATAACAAAACCAATAATCTCCAATGCCCAATTATTCATCACAGAATAATAATAAAAAACACCTTTGATTTTACATAAGAAATCCCTCATCAATTCCTTTTTCTATAAGATGTACGGGCTATAGAACTGGAGAGATTAGTTTCTAGGTGATGCGAAAAATATAGACAGTATTAACTGTGTCCTACACTGAAACTGTACCTCCTGAGTGTTGAAACTTGAATGTATATATTATAATAATGAAGAGATGCTGCATGGAAACATCCAATGTACTGCACCCCGATGCTACACCGACCTGCACAAACAACCAAGAAAGAGGAATTGGGAAAATAAGGACACCCACAATAGTTATCTATAGGCTCTCTATAAGAGATCCATGTCAGCATATTTTCCTATTTAGAAGAGATTAAATGAAGAGAGAGAGCAAAGCTATCTACTAACCTGGAGATAGTCTATAGAGAAAAACGAGGCAATGTATTAGAGAGCTATAGATACCCATGTAGACATACTATTAAGATGGTTTACTATTATTCTAGTCTATTGCTGAGATGTACATGTTTTATAGATAGCACCTTACTTTACCATTGCGGGTGCTCTAAATAAAAGCTAGCAGTCCTCTAGTAGTTAGTTTGTCTCCGTGTATTTTATCTCTAATGTGTTTGAGACTTCTAGGGGGTGTTTAGATTCTTGGTGTAAAGTTTTAGCGTGTCACATCGGATATACAGATACACATTTAAAGTATTAAACGTAGACTAATAATAAAACAAATTACATATTCCGTCTGTAAAATACGAGACGAATTTATTAAGCCTAATTAATCCATTATTAGCAAATATTTACCGTAACACCACATTATCAAATTCTGGCACAATTGTCAAAACTAGAGAATATGAAAGAAACGGCAAAACTCTCGGAAGCTCCGTCAAACAAAGCCAATAGTAGCTCATCGAAATACTCCAATATAATGCACACACTTTTTATTCGAAGGATCTGTGTATGGTACGAGGTAGATATCATATGAATAGACTGCTATTCGATACGAAGATATCTCAGTTGATTGTGAAATAGTACACACATAAAACTCAAAATATCCTGCTAAGATTGTGTAAATCTACTAACTATATACTAACTGAACTGCGAAATGGACCTCCTCTTGTTGTTGGCATCTACTCGACACGACGAACGAGCTTCAGCCCCCATGGCACGTCGTGGCAGTTCTTGACGTGCGCCACAACCTTCCCGGAGTGCGCGCTTCGCTTCATCCTGCAGTTGTTGTACGGCGGCGTGAGGAAGCACGGCTCCATGGACACGTCCCGGCGGCACGGCGGGTCGGGCACGGCGGACGACTCGTTCGCCGGCTTGTACATCACCCGCGGCGTCAGCCCGGCGAGCCCCTGCGCCACGTACCCGAACGTCGACCACCCGCTGGTCACCAGCGCGTCGGAGAGGCTGAGCAGGTATATCTCGGCGCACGCCTTGGCGTCGTGCGACCCGGAGCCGAACCGCTGGTACTCCTCGTGGCTCGGCTGGTGCACGCCCACCGCCTCGCCGGTGGCCGTCGCGCGCTCCCAGTACATGCCCTTGAGCTTCTCGTAGTACCACGACGTGAGGGAGGTGACGAGCACGGCTTTGGGCTTCAGGCGGCGGCGCGTCGTCGCCGCCGGTTCTCCGGTGGTGATCACGTCCGGGAGCAGATTCTCCATGTGCGCGCACGCGGTGATCTGTTCCAGGACCTTGGGCGACTCCTGCCGCGCGCCGAAGACGCGCACCTGGACGCCGACTCGCTGCCGCGCCGTCGCGAGGTAGGCGTCGTAGTAGCGCGTGACGAGACCCCAGATGTGGTTGTTCGGGTGGAACAGGTACCGTGCGAGGTGGTGGAACACGGCGTCCGTCTCCGGGAAGAGCGAGTCGAGCTCCGCCTGGAATCCGGTGACGAGGAACAGCCCCGGCACGATGTAGCTGTCCGTCCTCATCACAAGCCACGGGACGTTCCGGAGCACGCTCTGGTCGTCGTCGCAGAAGAAGAACTTGTCGTGGAAGGTGTAGTCGTGGTCGAGGTGGATGTAGGCGAACGCCGGCAGCTGTTGGTGTGGCGTCGGCACGTCACCGGCGGCGGCGTCGGTCGTGATCACCTTGTTCTTCAGCATGTTCCCGTAGCTCTCGGTGGTGTCGACGCTGAAGCTGGTGAAGTTCGTCAGCGGGAAGCCCGGCGGCAGCAGCCACGTCGTGCCGGGGAAGGGCTCGCAGAAGAGCTCGCCCATCTCGTTGCTGGGGTCGACGAGGAGCACGCGGTCGGTGAGCATCGCGTACAGGAACGCCGACGCGGCGGCGAGCATCCGGTTGCCGAGGCCGCGGTAGGATATGGACACCAGGTACCTGCACTCCGTCTGCGGCGGCGACCCGATGCCGCCGCTCTTGCCCGACCTCAGGCTCTCCACGGCGTTGCTGTACGCGGCGGTGCCCGGGCCGCACCGCCGCTGCAGCTCCTCGTGCCGCCGCAGCCTGGACACGAGGTGCGGCGAGGGCTCCTTGCCGGCGTTGTTTCGACGGTACATGGCGGATTGGTACCTGCTGTGGCATGACCCCTCGTCGAATCCGTCAGCCAACAGGCCGCCGAGAAGCTTGTCGTGCGCCGCCGCCGGCCGGTGTAGGAGCAGGATGGACTCGTCGCTTGATGATCCTGTGAAAAATTTCTTCAGTATCAAACTTGCCCGCTACTTGTATTAGTTCGTCGGAATATTGGAACGATGCAAACACAGCAATCATTAGTTTTCTTACCTCGGCCGCCGACGTTGGCAGAGCTGATCCAGACGGCCGGCGAGCTGGAGCGCGCGCCGTACAGGACAACCATTGGCGGCACGGTCATGATGAAGACGACGAGCGCAGCATTGGCTGCACTGTAAACGAGCCTTCTCATCGTCGACGGTGGGAACGCCGGCGCGCCCTCTTGGGCCTCTGGCCACCGGTGTGAAGCAAGCTGCTGCTCCTTCCATGGCGCCGCAGCGCCGTCGCCGCCGATTGTGGCTTCGTGCCGTCGCATTGGTGAAGACACCAGCTCCGTCGGCAAGGTTGCTATGATCGCACTGCAGCAGCAGCTCACCTGCTCAGGTGGTTTACCAGTAGAAGTGTACGAGATACTGAGATTAGCACCCACTTCCAGGATTAGCTATCACCAAGCAGTAGGAGGCATGTGGTTTACCAGAGTAAATACGATGGCGTGTAACACTACTGTAGTAAATCCCGATACATGTAATATCTGTCTCTTTTTCCTAAGTCACATCTTTGCATCTGGCTTGGAAGCCTAGAACCCTCGCGATTTGCTATATAAATAATACTTCTAGGGATGGTTCATTGACCTGTTCCCCATTGACCTGCTCCAAAAGGACCAAAAAGGCCTAAATTAGCGAACATTGACCTAAATTGGAGTAGTAACAATGTGAATCAGGTCTGTTCATATTACTACTGAAATTAACCTTATCAAAATTTAGCAATACCAATTTTTTTTATCAGTTGACATAATTACTAAATTTGGTAAGATGAAATAAATATGATGTGACAAAATTTCCTATGTGTTATCAATATTTGATAAAAAAAACTAAATACAGTTATATATTTATCAATTTTATCAAACAATGATATGTTTAAAATGATATTTATCAATTTTAACAATCTAAACAGGCCATCATTTCTTATCGATCTACTCTGTCCTAAAATTATTTTTCATTTACCCCTCAAATATCAATATAAAGGTAAAAAGACTAAATCATCCTTTATTTTTTCAAATACCAATGTAATTATCTTCTACTTTATTTTTTTTCCAATGTATTTCTCTTCTCTTTCAAAAAAAAACCTCTAATACATGAAATTATTTTCAGACAAATGAGAGGAGCGTAGCCCAACTCCTTTCTTATGGTGTAACTTATCCATATGGGTTTAAGTACTAGATTTGATATGGGTGTGCTTCTATTTACTATTAGTTGTTTTTCTAGTGGTAAACGACGTACCTGTCAACCGTTTATGTTAGCACTGTGTTCTAAAAAGAAATTATTTTAGAATGGAGGGAGAAATACTCTAGGGGTGCTCATGAAAATGTTTTAGCATGGCTCGCACACAAGTGCTGGCGCTGCTGCCATTTCTGTTTCTAAAACCAATGACATCACATTTTTTGGACAGTTTCATCGTTGCCTTTTGAACATTGCACTTCGACATGAACCAAATAAGGTCCCGTTTAGTTCCCAAAATTTTTTCCCAAAAACATCACATCGAATCTTTGGACACATGCATGAAGCATTAAATATAGATAAAAAGAAAAACTAATTGCACAGTTGTGGGGGAAATCGCGAGACGAATCTTTTAAGCCTAATTAGTCCGTGATTAGCCATAAGTGCTACAATAACCCACATGTGCTAATGACGGCTTAATTAGTCTCAAAAGATTCGTCTCGCGGTTTCCAGGTGAGTTCTGAAATTTAGTTTTTTTATTTATGTCCGAAAACCCCTTTCGACATCCGGTCAAACGTTTGATGTGACACCTAAAAATTTTCTTTTCCCCAACTAAAACACACCCTAACAAGGAAAAGAAAAGCTATCACCTTGTTGATTGCTTGCCGATTATATCGACCAGTGAGGCAGTGATGATATAGAGGCTTAATGACGAAGCAAATAACCAAGTCGTGTTAGCCCTCTCCTACAACATGTAACAGAGGAAGAGGCAGGGTTTACCTTACCGCCGGTAACCGCATGGTTACCACGGTTATCGGGCTTATCGCGGGGTACGGTAATATAAGTACCACGGTAACATCCTTAAATTCAAATAAATTTAAAAAATAATTTAAATTTTTGATAAATTTTGCACGGTTTTGTATGGTTTTTAATGCCAGAATGTGGTAACCCCGATCCCGGCGGTTTAGAAAACCCTGGGAAGAGTAAGGAGATGTGACGAACGAGGGCAGAAGTACAACCAGGAAGAAACAGTTACTCGGTTGATTTCGGCAGCCAATCCAGCAGATCTACCAAACTGACGCGACTGTGTGGTTAATATCCGAGCAGAGCGTCCGTCAAAAAAAAAAAGAAGAGAAGTATCCGAACGAACAGAGCGATTTCTTACGCTATGTTCCGATCCCTACGGCGAGCGACCACCAGGAGGCGCAGACGTAACGATGGGCCCCGTCACCGCCTCCCCGCCGTTGGAGTCTTGGGAGATTACGGTGACCGACCCGGATTCCGGTGCCGTGTGCAGTCCATACACCGAGATGATCGGTGCAAACGTGCAGTGCTATGCTCCGTGTGCTTCGGCCTGTCGGCCTCTCGGGAGTCGGGACGGGAGGACGAATACAAGAGCCTAATTGCAATGGGCCGCTCGTGGGCCGCAGTTAGGTTTCGGCCCATGCGTGTCTACAAGCCAAAAGCCACTGGGGAACAGAGAAAATCCATCATCTCACGGGGCCGTACCGTAAGGAGAAGCATGTAAATAGGAGTTTCCTTTATTCACTCCAAAGATATACTTCCTTCGTTTCAGGTTATAGACAAACTATTCTAAGTTTAACTAAGTTTATAGATAAATACAGTAATATTTATAATACTAAATTAGTTTCATCAAATCAATAATTAAATATATTTTCGTAATAAATTTATCTTAGGTTGAAAATATTACTACCTTCTTCTATAAACTTAATCAAATTTAAATCAGTTTGACTTTGACGAAAGTCAAAATATTTTATAACCTAAAATGGAGGGAGTAGTAAAAGTTGAATGTGAAATGGTTAGCACTCGATAATAACACGTAAAAGCTAAAGATCGGGCATCTTAATTTGTCATGTCGTTTGGCATCTACTCGGCACGATGATGAACGAGCTTCACTCCCCACGGCACGTCGTGGCAGCTCTGGACGTGCGGCACAACCCTCGCCGGATCGGCGCTTTCCTTCATCCGGCAGTCGTATACAACAGTCCTGTTGCGGTCCAACAAATATGGAACGAAACAGTCCCGTTCTGTCCCAACGTACATGGGCTGCTCGTACGCCGTAATCCCCAATTAGGCCCAACTTATATGGTCCTCACGCGTAAGCAACATTCCCTTTCCAGCCCAATCTATATGGGCCGCAGGTAACGTAACGCGAGATGTGCAGCCCCCTTCTCCTCCTCTTCCTCTCCGCCATCGAGGACGTTGAGCCCGCGGCCACCGTGATGCTCTCCCTCCGCCGCTGCCTCCCTCCCCTAGTGACGAGTTCCGCGAGACTGTCGGCGCAGATCAGAAGGATCTGACGCGTTTCGGTTTCTGTTGCAGAGATCTCCATAGATTAATCATCCACAGAACCGGTCAGTGACATTCAGACAACACCTGAACATTGTGCAAAAACCAAATTTTATTATTTTTGGTCACGTCGCGGCATGCATCTAGTACGCTTCTACAGTCTGGATCTGCGTGCCTGGCACGAAGCCACGAACAGAGCAGTTGACTTCACGACCTGGGTACCAAGATGTTCTCCCTATGAATTTGCTGCTCTGATCCCAGGTCTCAAAACCTGGTGTTGGTGTCAGTTGAGAGGACCAAAGATTGTCACAATATGGCGAAGCGAGGAGGAGGACGGCCTTGGGTCATCGTGCTCTTCTCATTGCCTCTGCTTCTCGTGTTCTTGCTGTCCGCCGATCGCCGGGTGCTGATCGCATCCGAGTCCCAAGTGCTTCGGCTCATAAAGGGAAGAGGTAAATGACAAGTCGATGACTCGTAATTTAATGTTTCATACCTCGCTTTATACGACATTTGTGCAAATCATCGTACTATGCCATCGAGTCTAGAGAAAACAAAATCATTTGAGCTCATGTGAAATGTGTCGGTGACTCGTAGTCTTGCCCATGTTAAAATTTCTCGTGTCAATTTCAACGCTAGCATTGGCATCAGGGAGGTGTTAAAATGAGTGTAGGTCAACTTGTCGGTTAAGAATAGTTAATTTCCATCTCGGTATCCTTTAACAATTGTCAACTTACAGGTAATTACAAATCTGAGATCGGAATCAAAGTGTTTCTACACTAGCAACCAAGATTAGTACTAACCAATAACCATAGCCCATAGAGCTCGATTCACCCACAGAAAGAATAAAGAAAACGAAGTATGGCACGCAGCATCTGCATTTGCATCTTAGCAGAAAACTAAGTATAGCCAAGTAGGTGGTAGCCTACATACCATTCTACCAACGTCGCCGGCGGAGAGCCGAGATGGGATCCGGCGGTGCCGCCGCCGCCGCCGCCGCCGTGCCACTACGGAAAGAGAAGCAACGCTCAGCCGCCGGCCGGTGGCCGGAGGTCGAGGACGGCGTGGTGCCAGCGACGGCCAAGAGGCACGTGCGCAGGGCGTGGAGATGTGGTGTCAACGTCGTGCTCGCCGCCTTCGTCATGGTCGTGCCGCCAATGGTCATCCTCCTCGACGCCCGCGGCGCCGGCGCGCCGGCCGTCTGGATTAGCTCCGTCAACGCCTTTCGCCGAGGTCAGGGCCACGGTTTCAGACGTTGACATGCGTGTCAATCATCCAATTGTCAAGTGTGTAGTTCAGTTTGCAGCCAGTCAATTGTCAACGTAGTATCTGCAAGCCTGAATTCTGTTGCCGTCCGTGTACCGATGCGTGTCTGAGTCTGACTGACGAAGTGAGAAACTGAGAATTGATTTCGTTTGTTCAGGCGATGGCTCGATCCTGCAATGGCCGGCGGCGGCGGCGGCGCGCGACAAGCTTCTCGGCGGCCTCCTGGCCGACGGATTGGACGACGGATCATGCCACAGCAGGTACCAATCCGCCATGTACCGTCGAAACGCCGGCAGGGAGCCCTCGCCGCACCTCGTGTCCAAGCTGCGGCGGCACGAGGAGCTGCAGCGGCGGTGCGGCCCGGGCACCGCCGCGTACAGCGACGCCGTGGAGAGGCTGAGGTCGGGCAAGAGCGGCGGCATCGTGTCGCCGTCACCGGAGGCGGAGTGCAGGTACCTTGTCTCCATCTCCTACCGCGGCCTCGGCAACCGGATCCTCGCCGCCGCGTCGGCGTTCCTGTACGCGATGCTCACCGACCGCGTGCTCCTCGTCGACCCCAGCAACGAGATGGACGAGCTGTTCTGCGAGCCCTTCCCCGGCGCGACGTGGCTGCTGCCGCCGGGGTTCCCGCTGGCGAACTACACCAGCTTCAGCGTCGAAACCGCCGAGAGCTACGGCAACATGGTGAAGAACAAGGTGATCACGACCGACGCCGGCGATGCTGCTCCGACGACGGCGCAGCTGCCGGCGTTCGCGTACATCCACCTCGACCACACGTCCACCGTGGAAGACAAGTTCTTCTTCTGCGACGAGGACCAGAGGGCGATCCGGAACATCCCGTGGCTGGTGATGAGGACGGACAGCTACATCGTGCCGGGTCTGTTCCTCGTCACCGGATTCCAGGACGAGCTCGACTCGCTCTTCCCGGAGACGGACGCCGTGTTCCACCACCTCGGCCGCTACCTGTTCCACCCGACCAACCACGTCTGGGGCCTCGTCACGCGCTACTACGACGCCTACCTCGCGACGGCGCAGCAGCGAGTCGGCATCCAGGTGCGCGTCTTCGGCGCCCAGCCGGAGTCGCCGAAGCTGCTTGATCAGATCACCACGTGCACGCAGAAGGAGAAGCTGCTCCCGGAGGTGATCGCCGCCGGAGAGCCCCCCGTCGTCGACGTCGCGCCGGCGAACTCCAAGTCCAAAGCCGTGCTCGTCACCTCGCTCAAGTCGTGGTACTACGAGAAGATGAAGAGCATGTACTGGGAGCACGCGACGGCCACCGGCGAGGCGGTGAGCGTGCACCAGCCGAGCCACGAGGAGTACCAGCGGTTCGGTGCCAGGTCGCACGACGGCAAGGCGTGGGCGGAGATATACCTGCTCAGCCTCTCCGACGCGCTGGTGACCAGCGGGTGGTCGACGTTCGGGTACGTGGCGCAGGGGCTCGCCGGGCTGACGCCGTGGGTGATGCACAAGCCGGCGAACGACACCGCGGCCGCGGCGGGCGACGACCCGCCGTGCCGGCGGGACGTGTCCATGGAGCCGTGCTTCCACGCGCCGCCGTTCTACGACTGCAGGCTGAAGCGTGGCGCGGACACCGGGAAGATGGTGCCGCACGTCCGGCACTGCGACGACGTGCAGTGGGGGTTGAAGCTGGTTCGTCGGGGGTGAATGGTATAGTACGTACATTGTAGTAACAGTTTTTGTAGTTGTCACGTTGTCACTCTCGCATGTTGTACACTTGTATGTTAGCAGCATCCATGCAAAATGAAAGCTGATAGAAAGCTTTACCGGAGACTGGAAAGGAGTCGTCGTTTGGTTTATGCTTATGTTTATTCATACCGCTTATTAGCAACCAAATATAATTTACAAGAAAATTATATATATATATATATATATATATGTGTGTGTGTGTGTGTGTGTATATATATATATATGTGTGTGTGTTCTTAGTGATTTAAAAATAAATACTACAGAATAAACTATGGTAAAACAAACCACCAGATCAACTTAAAAATTAAGCATAAATATAAGCGAAAAGATAAGACCAAAAGAGTAATTAGCAGCCTAGGAAGCAGAAAGTATTTTCTACACCTAGGTGCCATGGCACCTAGGTGTATGCATGTAATGCATAAAATTTTATAAGATAGTCCATCATAATATAAGACACTATGTAAACATGTAAATCTAAATTTGATCGATATATGAAGAAATAAAATAACAAATTTTATCTGCACTGTACGGGTACTATTCACTGTCTGATTTTATTATTTTTGTTTCTCTAGTTGTAGATCAAATTTAGTCCTGCATGTTTGTGTATAGATTTGTATCATCACAAACGATGTTACTAATTTTTTTCAATTTTCTCTATAATTATTTGAGCCACATGTAAATGATAGGTGCCACGGCACTAGGTGTAGAAAATCCTTGTCCGCCTAGGAAGCAGGGTAGACCCATATTTTGGGCTGGTCCTGGGCCTAAAGGACCATGGACTCAAACAAATTTTCACCACGTCGTTCTCAATGGAAATAGGTTCATCTAAGGTCCCTTAACTTGTCGACGAATCCGATTTTCGTCCTTCAACCGGAAAACCAGATACAATAGATCCCTCAACTATAAAAATCGGTGTAAAGGAGGTCCCTCGGCGGTTTTGATGGCGGTTTTGACTGACGTGGCGCGTATGTGGTTAGTTTGACTCGGTCTTGATCTGACGTGGCGCTTACGTGGCAAATCGATCCGGAAAAATAATAAAACCCGTGGGACCCACATATCAGTTTCGCACAAATAATAATAATAAAATGGTGGGATCCACGTGGGCCTCACATGTCATCCTCAATCCCGAGTGGGCGGCGAGCTCCACGCTGACGGCGTCCGGAGCGAGGCCGCCACCACCGTCGAGGCGGAGAGGGCGTCAGCGAGAGGAGATCACGGCGGCGTCGGAGCAGCTAGCAAGGAGGTCGGTGTAGACGTGGTCGAACCGTCGAACCCGAGGAGCGCCTGGAGCATGCATCGCCTGCCGAGGCGTGTCGCCACTGCTGCGACGCGGTTGAGCGTGTCGAGCTTCTCGGCGAGCGTGAGCGCCAGGAGCCACGAGTCGTCGCCTGGCACGAGCGCACGCACGGCCTGGGAGCCGAGGCAGCGCGGGCGAGCAGCCGCGCCGCCTCGGCGTCCGACAGCGAGCGGATACAGGTTGGCGGCGCGCGACATAGCGTTGGCCACCTCGAACGACAGGATGTCGACCTTCCCGTCATCCACCCCCTCTGCCGCCGCCGCCGCCGCGCCGCCCTTGCCGCTACTCGTCACCGGCTTCACCTTCCTAGATGACGACGTCGCCATGGACAACACCTTGTGCACCAGCGACCGGCCACCATGGCGATTTCTTGATTTTCTTCTTGGATCAAACAAAGATTAACCAAAAGGAGGCTAAAAAGTAGTAAGAAAAATATCTCCGCTTTTGCACCAAATCCAGCTAAACAAGAAACCAACCACGAGCAGTCAAAACAGACACATGTGGGTCCCACGGGTTTTATTATTTTTCGGATTAAATTGCCACGTAAGCGCCACGTCAGATGAAGACCGAGTCAATCTAGCCACATAGGTGTTACGTCAGCCAAAACCATCATCAAAACCGTCAAGGGACCTTCTTTGCACCAGTTTTGATAGTTGAGGGACCTGTTGTATCTGGTTTTTCGGTTGAAGGACGAAAATCGGATTTGTTGACAAGTTAAGGGACCTCAGATGAACTTATTCCTTCTCAATGGGTAGCTATGACCCAACAAATGACTTGACTTTCATTTTTGTAAACAGCAGTAATGTCATACGCCTCGAATAAATATTGAAAATATACATAAATTTTTGAACTTTTCGTAATTATACATGTGTTTTTGAAAGCCCGTCAAGCAGAAGGCTGGAGAAGCAGAGAATATGCTGGGAGCGATACATTTGGCGCCACCGGAAGAAGAGGCAACTGCAAAGAAACTGAATATCAAGGAACATTGCATCTTTAGAACAACAGATTTTACTGATTTATGCCTTGATGTTTACAAGTGCCGAAAAGAATTTTAAATGTTAGCAGAATGCTTAAGCTTCACTGGCTGAATACACAATATGACATGTTGACATGTGTATAATAGAAGTACTAATTATACTCGATGACTTCATTATGAGGTACACAAACAACTGTATGTAGGGATGAAAACGGAGCAAATACAGACGGATAATACTCATACCATATTCGTTTTCATAATTTTTTATCAGATACGGAAACGAATATGGATAACTCGAATACAACAACAAATACGGATTATCTCGAATACAAATAAGAATCAAATATGATCGGATACGAATACATAAACATTTTTTTCTCGGAACATGAAAACCAACTCAACTTCTAATAGAAATAAATATCAACTTATGTAATTAACTTATTTTATATAAAATATAGTATAATTTATAAATATTTTTAAAAATTTAAATAATATTAATAGTGTGGACTAGTATTAAGACATGAACTATTATTAAAATCTAAAAAGGTGTCAGCGCTGCGGACATTGTGCCGCACATCCGCATTGCGGCGACGTCAGGTGGGGGTTGAAAATCGTTAATCGGAAAAAATAGGATCTGCTCATTCACAAACATTGTGACGGAAACGGATTTTAATACCGGTAGGAGATCAGCGTGTACTTTTTTTTCTTTCAAATTCATTGCAATTCAACGCAAATAGTTATAACTTTTAAAAAAAAACTTTTTGACAATGTAGACTCTACATTGACATATCATTCTACCAAAAAAAATAAAATTCAACCTAGACAGTGGAAAAAAAATAAAATTCAACCTATACAGTGGAAAAATAGTTTCAAAATATCGTTACTTTTTGACATTTTTACGATATTGCAGTCCAAAACATCACTTATTCTGTGATTAGATATCTATAACTTGTATTAATTGGGTCATAGGAGAAATTAAACTTCCTCCTGTTAAATAAAGTAATCCTTAACAAATATCATTCACTATTTATCATATAAATCTATATAGTGCATCTTACTTAATGTAGTTATAGTAGCAACACTGAGGTTGAGCCACGTCACCACAAATTAGAAGAGCCGTTGGATCTAACTAAATTACTTTGATGTGTGTAGTCCGTCTCTGTTTCGATCAGTATGACCCAATGTTTTAGAGCAAAAAGCTCAATTGAGATGGCCTAAGTCATCCCTGTCCCCGTCCCACTTGCAACACCATTGGTGTAGGATCGTTTACCTACAAATAAAGTCCAAAGATTAGCTTGTCCACTTGTGGAATTCACAGATTAGCCCATTCTGCCATTGGGGTAGGATGTACCTGCAAGGACTAAAATACACTGCCGTCCTCAATAGAAAACACATATCTTGTCAGGTTACTACTACTAGTACGTTAATTAATTTTAAGATTAACTGCATGCTGCTACCTTCGTTAATTTCTCTTGATATTTTGGACAACCACACAGAGTCACACAGTCATCAATACATGTTTCCCTATTATTTATTCTAAATTCATTATTTCTAGAAGAATATAAATATAACTTTAAATATGTTTCCTAACGACAAATCTAAACATTTCAAGAGTTTTTTTACTGCACATAGTTTAGGACGTCAAATTTTTTGGAGAGAGTGCTTATCTACTTCCTGTACTTTACTAGTACTGAATATATAGGCATACAGTTGACCTGCATTTCAAGAGAAAGACCTTGTGCAGCATGCCAGCATCCAGTTGGCTGAATCACCAGATCTCACACTGAGCTAGCAACCATTGCCACTGAGGGTGAGAGCGCTGCACGGAGAGATCGAGCGGCGGCGGCCATGACGAAGGCCCTGCAGGCCGCCGGCGGCAAGCCGTGGCGCCCGGGGAAGATGAGCACGGTGCTCGTCGCTGTCCTGATGACCATGCCGCCGCTCGTCGTCATCTTCAGCGGGCGAATTGGCGATCAAGCGATGTGGATCAAGACGGCGGTGGATGGCATTCGGGGAGGTAATTAAGCTAGTTTTTCTTCCATTTTCCTCCCAATTTCGAACTTTTCTGTCATACATGCGAGTTGGTAGCTTGTACATTCGCACAGGCTATTTGGTTACATACCCTGTACCAAAATTTATTTTGGTTAAAATTCACATGTAATCTTTGTTTTTAAGCACACAATTACAGTTCAATTTTATTTTATTTAGAATATAAGAATTTTAAAAGGGAAATATTTATCTGTATATTTAAAAAATCTTTATTTTGGGGAAAATCACATAAAAATCACCTAAGAATTTATATTGGAAACGCTAAAAAAGTGTCGATAGTTTTTTCTCAACAAAGGTTCGTGTTCATGGATGAAAAAAAAAATCACGCCATGCACAAGCTGCGAATCAACCATGAGCCCTTCGTCTCATGCCTATTTTGCCCAAATGAGCAAGCAAACTTACATTATAATATTAATTACAATATAACTACGACTACATTTAACATACTTTTGAAAAAAAAATCTATCGCCATAATTTTAGATAGACCCATTTATATTGTGGAAGTGATCGGGGGAAAAAATCCATGTTCCAAAAAGTTTCTGTGACTTGTGCAGGTACAGATGATGATGTCTCCTTCATGAAGCACCCGACGACGTCACACGACAAGCTTCTCGGCGGCCTCCTTGTCGACGGCTTCGACCAAGAATCCTGCCACAGCCGGTACCAATCCGCCGCGTACCGGCGAAACGCCGGCCGGCGACCATCGGAGCACCTCGTCTCCAAACTGCGGCGCCACGAAGACCTGCAGAGGCGGTGCGGCCCTGGCACCGCCGCCTACAGCGCCGCAGTGGAGCAGCTCAAGTCCGGCAAGAGCCCGGCGGCGGCCGAGGCCTCGCCGGAGGCGTGCAGGTACCTCGTCTCCATCTCCTACCGCGGCCTCGGCAACCGGATCCTCGCCGCCGCGTCGGCGTTCCTGTACGCGATGCTCACCGACCGCGTGCTCCTCGTCGACCCCAGCAACGAGATGGGCGAGCTGTTCTGCGAGCCCTTCGCCGGCACGACGTGGCTGCTGCCGCCGGAGTTCCCGCTCGTGGGCTACCAGGGCTTCTACCTCCACACCGCCGAGCGGTACGGGAAGATGCGCGAGGACAGAGTGCTCAGACCAGACGGCGGCGAAGCGGCGGCGGCGGCGCCGCCGCCGGCGTTCGCGTACATCCACCTCGATTACAACCAGACCGACTACGACAAGCTCTTCTTCTGTGACGAGGACCAGCGGCTGCTGTCGAGCATCCAGTGGCTGGTGATGAGGACGGACAGCTACATCGTGCCGGGGCTGTTCCTCGTCGACGCGTTCCAGGACGAGCTCGCCGCGCTGTTCCCGGAGCGCGACGCCGTGTTCCACCACCTCGGCCGCTACCTGTTCCACCCGACCAACCACGTCTGGGGCCTCGTCACCCGCTACTACCGCGGCCACCTCGCGTGGGCGCGCCGCCGCGTCGGCATCCAGGTGCGCGTCTCCTCGTGGGAGTGGGAGTCGCCGGAGATCCTCAGGACGATCACGTCGTGCACGCAGGACGAAGGGCTGCTCCCGCGGGTGCTCGACGACACGGACCAAGAACCACCGGCGACGGCGGCGGCGAGCGCGCGCCGCGGTCTCAGGCCGAGCGCCGTGGTGATCACCTCGCTCAAGTCGTGGTACTACGAGAAGATGAAGGGGATGTACTGGGAGAGGGCGACGGAGTCCGGCGAGGTGGTGGTGTTCGACCAGCCGAGCCACGAGGAGCAGCAGATGTACGGCGTGAGGGCGCACGAGCGGAAGGCGTGGGCGGAGATGTACCTGCTGAGCACGACGGACGTGCTGGTGACGACGGGGACGTCGACGTTCGGGTACGTGGCGCAGGGGCTCGGCGGGCTGACGCCGTGGGTGCTGCCGCGCCGGGAGGTGAACGGCACGGCGCCGCCGTGCCGCCGGGACATGTCCATGGAGCCGTGCTTCCACGTCGCGCCGCTGTACGACTGCAAGCGGTGGGAGGACGCCGGCAAGATCGTGCCGCACGTTCGGCACTGCCACGACATGCCCGCGGGGCTCAAGCTTGTCGACCGAACGGAGTGGTGAAGCAAAGAGAAGTGCTTGAGAAAGTATATCGAGATACATAAATTTTAAACTGACATTATTGATATCGTGAGTTACTATTTAGTAGGTATTAAAATACTAAATTTTATAGTAGAAAATATTTCCAGTACCTTCTCAAAGATAATAAAGGCCCCGTTTAGCAGGACTGGCTGTATGCTGCATGGGGCTGTGCGAACAAAAGAAATGTTAGTAGTTGGGTTCATGTAGCAGCTGGCTGTGGCACAGCCACATGCATGGCTTCCAAACATACCCAAAATTACCCAAAGAGTAAAGTATTTGAAACTAGAGTTAAAGTTGTACCTTTTACTTAAAGTACGAATAATATTGAAAATACATTTGTATTTCTAACATGGCCCCACAACTTTGTAATCTTACATGTCAGTCTCCTCGTTTCGCATATAATTGATTATAATCTGTAACACTTATTAATTAACGATAAAAGTAGTATATGATTAAATTTTTATAAACATGTTTTTAAGACTAAAAGCCAATGTAAAAAAGAACGTATTATAGAATGAGAATATTTAATCCCTACGTATGATTATAAAGAACGCCATTTAAATCCCTTGTTTTTCGACTCTCATCTCTACGTCGTTGGAGAATATCCTAGCCAGCTTGCACGCGTCCTAATAGGATCCCTTCGTGGCGTGCGATAGATATAGATGGCGATGTGGGCCACCGGGCACGGCATGGCCCAGGCCCGGCCGTGCCTGGGCCGAGGCTTGTCGGGCCGGCACGGCCCGACCGACGCACCGGGCCGTGCCGTGCCAGCCCACGTGCCGCACTCACGGCCCAGGCACGGCTCAACACGCCTCGGGCTGTGCCGGGCCGGCCCGAAGGCACGCTGGGCCATCGTGCGTTTCCTCAGAATAAGTCTAATTTTCCTCCATACTATTGGGCTTTGACATATATATAGCTAAAAAAGGTCTATTTTACCTCCCTCTTCTTTGGGCTGTGGTATATAAATAGTTAAATTAAGTCTATTTAAGGTCCCTATTCTTTGGACAGTTACATTTATATGTCTATTTTTAGTCCCTATACTTTGTGTGCCGGGCCTGGCCTGTCGGCCCATCGTGCCGGGCCAGCCCAGCGTGCAGGCGGGGAGGCCCAGGCACGGCCCGGCGGTCGGGCCGGGCCGGCACGGGCCGACCCATGCCGGGCCGTGCCGTGCTTGGGCCGGGCCAAAAAGCCGTGCCATGGGCCAGGCCTTCGGGTCTCAGGCCTTATGGCCATCTATAGCGATAGATCAGTGGTAATGTACAAAATGGTGGCAGAACTGCACTACAAGAGGGGGTGCTCTAGAACCTGGTTAAAAAAATTTTTTAGCTATAATTAATCTATTTTCACCCTAGGTATAACTTCCCAGTGCAAACTTAGATACCTACGTTAGTCTAAACTCGCTTCAAGCAGAGTAAAGTAAGTGGCAACGGTTCTATTTCGTTTTAACTCTACCTCGACATATAAACCAACACACGCCTCTGAAGTAGCACAACAGAACTAGTATACAAGGTGTCGTTATGTGTCGGCACAATTCGATCGCCGCCAACAAAACTATTGCGAGTTTGCAACATGTACTTGGATAAAACCATTGCAAGATGGACTTGTATATCAGGGTAATTTTATCATCCTTAAAAAGGTACCAGGAGGTACCACTATTACGGAAATCATCTTTTATGGCGGCCATTTTAGGTTTTCCCTAGCGAAAATTACAGCCGCCACAAAGCAAAGGCCAGAGAAAATATCGATCTTCGCTAGCGATTATTGGCCGCCAGCGATAATCGATTTTAGTTGACGGAACCCTATGCAGCTGTCCTCCAGCTGCCAGCAAAAATAACATGCATTCCCAAATTCACATCCCTAAATCTCAAATCCATAACAATTCAAATCCACATCAGATCTAACCTTAAGAGAACACTACATCAATTTCTCACTTCATTTTCAACAAACAAACATCAATACATGCATATATGAAACATCAATACAAACAAACATCAAAATGGACAACAAAATTGTCGTCGCCCGCTTGCCATCGCCGCCGCGGCGGCCGACGCCCCCTCCCTCCGACTAGATCTGGGAGAGGGAGAGGGAGGGGAGGGGAGGAGGAGGAGGAGGAGGAGGAGGAGGCCCTCCGGTAGTGGCCCCTCCGCCCCCTCCCTCCACTGCACATCCGCCGCCCGTGGCCCGGCCTGTCGTCATGGTCACCGTGGTCGTCGTCACCGTTACCAGTCGCCATGGTCGCCATGGTCATCGTGGCCCGGCCCATCGTCGTCGTCGTCATCATCATCGCCGTGGTCGCCGTCGCTAGTGGGGGCGCAGGGAATGAGGAGGGGAGAGTAGGGGCGGGCATTCGGTCTAACCGAAAAATTCGGTTCGGTTCCTCGGTCTTTTTGAAAATTCGGTCTTTGTACCGATCGGTCTCCAACAAATCTCAAGACCAAGCAAATCGGTCTTCGGTTAGTTCGGTTCGGTCTCGGTCATAGACCGAACTAACCGTAAAAACAACAAAAGCAAAGCAAATCAATAAAACTAACTGTAAAAACAGCAAAAGCAAAGTAAATCAACAATTAGACCGCAGATTGTGATAGCAAATTGAGCACGAATCAGACAAGAAGCAAATCGGCCGGCTGGATGCGGCACCCGGCGATGGAGCCATGGAGGCGGAGGGGGCGCCGACTGGAGGCGGCGCCCGGCGGTGGAGGCGGAGGCGCGCCAGCTCGAGGCGGCGCCCGACGGTAGAGGCGGAGGCAGCGCCCAGCGTTGGAGGCGGCGCCTGGCGGTGGAGGCGGAAACGCGTCGGCTGGAGGCTGCACCTGGCGGTGGAGGCGGAGGCGGCGCCTGGCGAGCAAAGGAGGATGCGGATGGAGACCGCTCCGTCCAGGATGGGGATGAGGATGACGCACTCACGATGTGCGTGGCTGTGTCTGGCTCTAGGGTTTCTTATTAGTGGGCTTATTGGGCCAACTAGTCTATTGGGCCTAATTCGGTTATTTCGGTCAATTCGGTTAATTGAGGCCCATGACCAAATAAACCGAAAAAATTTCGGTCTTTCAACAGTGAAGACTGGTTTTTTCGGTCTCGGTCTCGGTCTTTTCGATTCGGTTCTTCGGTTCGGTCTTATTTTGCCCATCCCTAGGGGAGAGAGGTGGGGGAGGAGAGGAGGAGGCCCTCCGGTCGTGGCCTCTCCGCCCCTCCCGCCGCCGCACATCCGCCGCCCGTGGCCTAGCCCGTCGTTGTGGTCACCGTGGTCGTCGTCACCAGTCACCGTGGTCGTCGTCGTCCGGCCCGTCGTCGTCGTGGTCATGGTCGCCGACTCACCGTCGCTAGTAGGGGCGCAATGAAGGGAGAGAGGTGGGTGGGTGGGTGGTCTCGCAGTGGGAGTGGGTGGGTAGTGGCGGTACTGGGATGAAATCGGTTTTAAATGCGGTTTGTGAAGGAATCTCGCGCGCGTTGTTTTAAATGCCGCCAAAATTTTTTAGCGAGACAGTGTTTTTCGCTGGCGGACATTTAAGAGGTCTGCTTCGAAAAATATAATATTTTTATAGCGGACCTCTTAATGTGGCCACCAGCGAAAATCAGCTTTCGCTGGCGGCCCATGACCTCCCACCCCCTCCCGATTTTTTGCGCTGGCGGTTTTTTTCTCATAGTAGCCATGAAAAATATTTTTCAAACGCCATAAAAAATCGTTTTTCATGTAGTGTACCACACTTGCTAATGGAAAATTTGGTAAGTACCTTGAGGTAAAAAAAAATTAGGTATCTCGAGATTTTTTTTAACGATCATAAAATTTCTCCGCATATTAACAGCGCCAGTATCTAGGCTTGCAAATGGGCCTACCAGGGCCGTGATTTCTTGACAAGTTCCATACGATGCCCAAATAATTATTTACTTGCTCGTATTTTTAGTCAAACCCCTAAACATGGGATTGTCGTACACCTTTGTTTCTGTTTTAACAAAACCACACACTTTTTCGTTCGTGGGTTTTGAAACTTTGACGATATGATCTCCCCATTTTAAGATAACACTACATCTTATCTTATCACATGGTGGCCGGCCGGCTCTGTTACCCAGGTCAGCTCCCAGTTTGCAAGCTATTGCAGGTCATCATACTGCATAGTGCATCATACCGTACTAAAATTATCAAATGATCCGAACGAGCTAAAGATATATTATCATAGTATCACTGTATCAGGCAGGACAATTGTTGTGATCAAACCCCAAGTCCCCAACCTGACACGCAAAGCTGCACCTCTTCTACCTATGTACGAAGCTACAGTGCACTCAACCGAACGCAAGTCCACCTCTCCAACGTGCAGTGGCTCGCATGTCAAGCTAAGGACGCGAGAAAAAATGTGATAAAAAGCTGACGAAGTTTGAGACACTGAACGTGCGGTGCAAAGAAGAGGTGATCGGTGCAAGCCGGCGGCGGCGATGGCGACGAGGGGGAAGAAGCTGGGCGGCGTCGCCGGCGGCGGCGGCGCGGCGGTGCGCGTCGTCGGCGTCGTCTGCGTCATGGCGGTGCCGTTGTTTGCGCTGTTGGTGCTCGGCGGATGGGCCAGCGCGTCCACGGTTTGGCAGAGCGCGGCGAGGCTGACTGCTGTTACTGCAGGTAAAATGTTTGTGATTTGCAGTATGAGATTATTTAGGGATGCAAGCGGGGCGGGTAAGCGGATTTTTTTAGCCCGCTTATCTCACTTCTAATTCATGTTTTCTTTCAAATTTTGTACTAACATATAGGAAATAAACTAACAAGCGAGTTTTTATGACTACCCACTTGCATCCCTAATTACATTTGGAGGCGGTTAGATTAAAAAAAATGTAGGTGTTTTGGTGTGATTTGCAGTTTGTGATCACTGGAAAACTAAAATGAATTGTGCACGTACTTTGTTGTGGTTTAATTTTCAACTGGTAAATACGCTTGGAAGAAACTAAGATATGATGTACTTGTCCATCTTTTAGCGATTTGAGATTACTCAGTTCAATCCCTGCATGGAACAAACAGATTTCACGCCAAACAGTTTAAGATCCCACAGTGATCAGAGAAGTTGAGAACTCTCCCCTCATTTCGGGTTTATTTATTCGGATTTGGTATTTCACATGCGACTGATTTTTGGTTTTAAACCCCTTCTAGATCCACCTGGGCCATGATTTTGTGGGCCAAAGCTCTTTCATGGATTCAGAAATCCTACATCTGGGCCATAATTTCGAATATCATCTCTGGTGGATTCAGAAATTCTTAAATTTCTACGAATTTGAAATCCTAAATTGCGTGATGTAAACTTCAAATTGCGCGCGCGGAGCTAAAATTAAGAATCTCAATTCACCTGGTATGTTTTTGCTAAAAAAAATTTACAGTTTGTTTTGTCACGTCTCAAAATCAAATTCAGGATTCACGAACGCCTCCAAACCCAGCGCCACCGGCGACGCGGCCACCGGCGCCGACGAGCTCTTCGGCGGCTTGCTGGCGGCCGGCGGCTGCTTCGACCGCGGCGCGTGCCTGAGCCGGCACGAGTCCCCGCGCTACTACAAGAGCTCGCCATTCTCGCCGTCCCCCTACCTCCTCCAGAAGCTCCGCGACTACGAGGCGCGGCACCGGAGGTGCGGCCCGGGCACGCCGGGCTACGCCAAGTCCGACGAGCAGCTCCGGTCCGGCCACAGCTCGGAGGTCATGGAGTGCAACTACCTCGTCGGACTCCCCTACAATGGCCTCGGCAACCGCATGCTCTCGCTGGTCGCCTCCTTCCTCTACGCGCTGCTCACCGACCGCGTCTTCCTCGTCCACTTCCCCGACGACTTCGCCGACCACTTCTGCGAGCCGTTCCCCGGCGGCGAAGGCGAGACGGCGACGACGTGGGTGCTCCCGCCGGACTTCCCCGTCGCCGACCTGTGGCGGCTCGGGGTGCACTCGAACCAGTCGTACGGGAACCTCCTCGCCGCCAAGAAGATCACCGGCGACCCGGCGAGGGAGACGCCGGTGTCCGTGCCGCCGTACGTGTACCTCCACCTGGCGCACGACCTCCGCGGCGACGACGAGCGGTTCTACTGCAACGACGACCAGCTCGTGCTCGCCAAGGTGAACTGGCTGCTGCTGCAGAGCGACCTCTACTTCGTCCCGTCGCTGTACGCCATCCCGGAGTTCCAGGACGAGCTCCGGTGGATGTTCCCGGAGAAGGAGAGCGTCACCCATCTCCTTGCCCGCTACCTTCTCCACCCTTCCAACTCCGTGTGGGGGATGGTCATGAGATACCACCACGCGTACCTCGCTCCGGCGGCGGAGATGATCGGCGTGCAGATCAGGATGTTCTCCTGGGCGTCCATCCCCGTCGACGACATGTACAAGCAGGTCATGGCGTGTTCGTCGCAGGAGCGCATCCTGCCGGACACCGACGGTGGCGACGCGCCGGCGCCGGCCAGGACGAACACGTCCGGCGGCGGCGCGACGACGGCCATCCTGGTCGCGTCGCTGCAGGTGGAGTACTACGAGAGGCTGAAGGGCAAGTACTACGAGCACGCGGCGACGGCGAGCGGCGGCGGGCGGCGGTGGGTGGGCGTGTTCCAGCCGAGCCACGAGGAGAAGCAGGAGATGGGGAAGCGGGCGCACAACCAGAAGGCGCTCGCCGAGATCTACCTGCTCAGCTTCGCCGACGTGCTGCTCACCAGCGGCATGTCGACGTTCGGGTACATGAGCAGCGCGCTCGCCGGGCTGCGGCCGGCGATGCTGCTCACGGCGTTCAACCACAAGGTCCCCCGGACGCCGTGCGTGCGCGCCGTATCCATGGAGCCCTGCTTCCACAAGCCGCCGCCCGCCGCCGCGACATGTCAGGGCAAGCTCGCCGTCAGCGAGAACGTGACACGACACATCAAGCGCTGTGAGGATCTAGCCGGAGGCATTAAGCTTTTTGATTAACCATGAATGAATTAATTACTACTCCAAGATAACTGCGAATTACACGACCATTTTTCTCCATCTATAAATGAACTTATTGCATCCGTCTCATAAAAACAAATGTAGAAAAATCCTACTATTACGAGAGTTGTTCAGATTTGTAGTCGTAGCTCGGAAGAGTCGTATTCTGTAATAGGTTTGTTTTTTATGAGATGGATGGGGTAAAGAAATTTTACGATCCTAATTTTTTTTTAATATTTGAAAGTATCAAATTTTACACTAGAAAAATACAATCACTTCTCAATAATGGTAAAATTATCCAAGGAAGTATGTAGGATCAAGCATTCATAAATCATATATTCTATGAACAGTTATTGGCTAATTTGCAAAAAAGGAGTATATTTTTCTATTCCATAGGTTGCAAAAACAACTAAAAACATGGTATAAATTGTGAACAAAAACAGTATTAATACTACTATTTTGGTTTAGCTAATAGGATCAGCCAGTTTGCGTCCCCATGGCACGTCCTCGCATGATCGGACATGAGGCACCAGGTTGCCGGTGTCGATGATCTTGTCGATCTCTTTCTTGGTGCACTCGAAGTACGGCGGCCCGTGGTCGCAGGGCTCCATGGACATGGCCCTGACGCACGGCGGGTTCGGCACCGTGTGGTTCTCCGGCTTGATCATGATGTACGGCGTGAGGCCGCCGAGGCCGGCGCCGACGTAGCCGAACGTCGACCAGCCGCTGGTGACGATCTTGTCCGTCAAGCTCAGCAGGTACATCTCGGCGAGGGCCTTCATGTCGTGGGTGCTCCGGAAGAAGTGCTGGTGCAGCTCGTGGCTCGGCTGGTGCACGCTCACCACCTCGCCGGTGGCCGACGGCGACCGCCAGTACATGTCCCGGATGCTGTCGTGGTACCACGAGTTGAGCCCCGTCGTCAGGACGGCCTTGGACCGCGCGATCGGCGGCGGCGCGACGCCGCCGCCGTGGCCGCTCACGACGACTCCAGGGAGGAGGTGCTCCTGCGACGTGCACTCCAGGATCTGGTCCAGGATGTGCTGGAACGGCTCGTCGCCGTCGAACACCCTGATCTGGACGCCCAGCCGCTCGTCGGCGTTCTTGAGGTAGGAGTGGTAGAACCTGGTGACCATACCCCAGACGTCGTTGGTCGGGTGGAGGAGATACCGGGAGAGGAGGTAGAAGACGGCGTCCTTGTTGGGGAACATCATGTCGAGCTCCTCCTTGTACGCCGGGTTGAGGAAGATCCCCGGCGCGATGTAGCTGTCCGTCCTCAGGATCACCCACTGCACGCGGTGGAGGAACTGGCGGTGGTCGTCGCAGTACAGCAGCCTGTTCGCCGGCGTCGCCGCGTGGTCGAGGTGCGCGTACACGAACCGCAGGCCGGCGACGGAGCCGCTCCGGTTCACCGCCACGTTCCCGTAGCTCTCCGGCGCGTCCTCGCCGAGGTCCCGGAAGTGCTCGAGCGGGAAGTCGCCGGGCAGCATCCACGACGTGGCCTGGAACGGCTCGCAGAAGAGGTCGGCCATGGTCTTGCCCGGGTCGAGGAGGAGGACGCGGCCGGTGAGCATGGCGTAGAGGAAGGCGGAGGTGATGGCGAGGATGCGGTTGCCGAGGCCGCGGTAGGATATCAGCACGAGGTAGCCGCAGCCGTCGACCGTGGCGACGAAGTCGTCGCCGGCGTTCTGGCCGGACCTGAGCCGCTCGGACGCCCGCCGGTACGGCTCCGTGCCCGGGCCGCACCGCCGTTGCAGCGCCTCCTGCTGCCGGAGCCGGCGGAGGAGGTGCGGCGACGGCGGCCGCGTCATGTTCTTGCGGTAGTAGACGGATTGGTACCGGCTGACGCACGATTGCTCGTCGAATCCTGGGAGGAGCAGGCCACCGAGAAGCACGTCTTTCTTGGGTTCTTCAAGCGAAATGGAGCAACATTTTAAGCCCAAAGAGTGTAAACATGGGAAATATGCAGTGTGGCAAAACTGGCTTTACTTATACAAGAAGGTAAAATAAAACGAGGTTTGAAGGGAGAGATGTCTCTCCAAATATTTTAAAATTATGAGTGTGGTGTGGATTGAACACGGAATTTTAGAGTTAAAACTTTCTTTTTTAGGAAGGTGGATAAACCGTTCCCTCATATCATCGACTAAAAATAAAAAGTGGCTTTATTTTTTAGGAAGTGTGGCACAAAAGCTTAGCCAGCTTTGGCATGTTTAGTCCATCAACCAAATAGTAGTCCGGTCCTTGATCTCTGAACAAAATGAGTAGTTCAACACCTACATTGGCTCAAGCTCTCGTACCATGTATGTAGGGAATCTCGTTCAAATTTTGTCAACTAGATTTCAAATATCACCTAAACCGTTCGGTGATGTCTATTTTGACATGTTTTGAAAATTTTCATCTCACTGGGCTTGCATTTCAACCCAAAAACAATACTATAAACCAATACAATTGACCTATTCAAACTTCGTCCGGCTTGATATATTTTATGATCAGAAATCCAAAAAATGGAAAACAACTAAGAAAACCCCAAAAGACCTCATAAAATCCGTGCTTGTAATTTTTGCCTTGGGTTCTTTTAGCCCAGTATGAAGGTTGGACAGGCCTACAATACATGTTTCACCGATCAAAGCAAGCAGTCGCAAAGCTTTATTATCATGCCATGAGACAAGACGTAATATTTTTTAAAAAATAGCGGTGTAGAGTAATAGGATCGTTAAAGTTAGTCTATAGTAAAACTTTAGTGAACATAGAAAGTCTAGTATGGAATGGATTTGACCACACAACTAATTATGAAGTCTAGTGTTGGACTTGGATATGGGTTTTGCAAATCCCCAAACATAAAGAGGATAAGGTCTAGGCTGGTAAGCAAGCGGAATTATCCCATTGGCACCACCTGAATTATCGATGTATATCCCACTAAAAGAATTAACAAGATAAAAATTTAAATATAGATAATTTTAATTCCACTTTGCGTTCTAATATGTTACACAATTCTTAAGATACCCATTATTATTCACTAGCCCACTATAATCAGATGCTAAAATACTATCCATCAATAATCGAGTAAAGTTCCCAAAAAAATTGAATATTTTTTTTAAAAAATAGAAATAAATAAATTTCCTAATATGTAGCGGTTGGAAATGGAAATTTTCCAACAGCGTTCATGGTAAAACGAGAAAATTATTAACATATAATTAATATGGTTTTAATTAATATAAATTTAAAAAGTAGATACTTTTAATATTTTAAGGCAATATCTATATAGAATGTTTCTGTATGAAACATATGAACAAAAAAATCAAGTTAGAATCTGCATCTTAGTTAGAAAAGAACTGATTCCAAAGACTAGTCCCTCTGCAGCTCTGCTTGAGCTGTAATTTTGCAAACACAGCAGCACGAAGAACATGAAAAACCCAAGGTTCCTCTCCAATGTTGGAAGAACAACCGGGTTCCTTTGTAACAAGTAAGCACGAAACTACAGTCACTTACCCCCTCGTGCGGCTAGGCTGGCAACGGTCGACTTGATCCACACCGCCGGCGCGCCGGGCCGGCCGCCGCCGAGGAGGATGAGGAGCGGCGGCATCGTCATGATGAACGCCACCAGCGTGGCGTTCACCACCTTGGGCCATCGCCGGACGAAGGCGTCGGCGGCGGCGGCGTCCTTCGTCGCCTTCTTCCCCGCGAACGGCGCCGCCTCGTCGATCCCCAGCCAGCTGCTCGCCGGTGTGCTGCTCTCCCTCTCCATCTTGGACACTATACACACACTTACACCAGCCCGTGTGAGCAAGCAAGCTGCTTGTAGAGTTCTACTTTGTGTCTAGTGGCTACTACCTATATGGACCTACGGTGCTCGTAGTCGCTGGCTTGCTGCTAATAGCCTAATACTACTCCCTTCATCGCAAAATATAGTAACGTTGTAGTATTATAGATCTGGATAACTACTATTAAATTAAATAAAATTAGACATGGGTCTGTCCAGATTTATAGTATTAAATTGTATCTTATCCAATACTATATATTACTATATTTTTGAAACAAAGGGAGTATATATGGACTAATGGTTATATATTTTTATTTCCTCTTTGGTATTGGCAAATGAGGGGTGGAAATTAACAGACATCTTATAGTCCATTGACATGCATGGGTTTCCTCATCAAGATCCATACTTGAAAGTGCTGCCATGCTTAACCTTTTGATGCAGGACACAGATCACAAAAAACCACCTGCTTGCTATACCTAGACAACTTGAGGTAAACGCAAGTACAGTAAACCAAATTGGACTTTAAGTACACCAAGTTGCACATTTGCTTAATGCTTACTTTGTTAATTATCGCCTGGCAGGAGTAACTAGGCTGGTCCTTAGTAGATTTTCTTTTGCAGAGGAATAAAACACAAGTTGAGTGTGCATTATAACCAGTTTTTTAGAACAGATCGACACCGACAACCGATGTAGTACGAGTAGATTATTACAAGTTCGATGCGATCAGAGAGACTAATTAATCCATCTTAAAAAAAGAGAGTTTACTAGTAGTGTCAAAATGTCGGCTATTAGGAGTTTACTAGTATACTGCTCCAGTTAGAAAAACGAAACCCTTCAATGCAGTATTGGGCAGCATGTGTAGAAATTAAAACGCAAATGGCACATGCAACGATCGTGTTGCATGTTCAAAACTCTGAATTTCAGACTGCGAGGAAGGCGCCTGAATCTAAAGAATTGGAACTCTCAGAAGAATCTCAAAGAAGCAGCTTCTGCATGATTTCTGCAAAGAGAGCGTGGTATCCAATGGTTGCTGCTTCCCTGGTTGAAACGTATCCAAGAAATTGTATATCTACAGACTATATCAAAGCACGCAACTGTGCAATCTGAAAAAGGCCATTCCAAAATGAATGTTAACCATACATGGCTAGGATTTCTGCAATTCAGTTGTTGCAATCCATGGGTGATGGTTGCCACCGGAGTCCAGAGGACACCATGGTTTCCCAAAATTTACCTTAATATATTAATTATATTAGGAAAGTTAGTATAAGCATGTTGAGACCGTTCCCCTTTCCTTTTGGGAGTACTACTGCTTTAATGATCGGGATTGGGAGGATCACCTTGCTCATGTTCACACAAATAGTTTCAGTGGAGATGTTCCATTTTAGTAATGCTGAATTCCCAATTTTCTTCATATTACTTCATACTAACAAAGCATAACTATTTTCACCCGATTCATTTAGATAACTGTTGATAACTTAA